ATTAACCCTCTATTGACTGCTGTTCTGTTACACCTAACCAGTCATAAGAATAAGACCAAGAAGGTTCAATGCAATTCCAAGTGAAATCCCAGCATACTTCATACACCTTGAGAAAACAATCCAAAAATTCATTTGGTACAAGAAGAGACCCAGAATAGCAAAAGCAATTCTAGGTAACAGAGACATGGCAGGGGGTATTACTACCCCCAACTTGAAACTATACTACAAAGCTACTGTGATAAAAACAGCATGGTACTGGCAAAGAAACACACCTAAGGACCAGTGGAACAGATTAGAAGATGCAGAAACAACTCCAGACACACTCAGCCACCTCACCTTTGACAAAGGAGCCAAACACCCTCACTGCAGGAAAGATAGTCTAATAAATGGTGCTGGAGAAATTGGGTTTCAACTTGCCAAAGAATAAAATTAGACCTATATCTCTCACCATGCACTAATCTAAAATCAAAATGGATTAAATATCTAAATATAAAAACAGAAACACTGAACTGGCTGGAACAGAGGTTAGGTAGAACTCTTGAAGACATTGGTGTAGGAAAAGACTTTATGAACAAAACCTCAGTTGCCCATGAACTAGCACAAACAATCAACAAGTAGGATCTCTTTTTACTAAAAAGCTTCTGCATAGCAAGAGAAATCACCATCAATGTGAAGAGACAACCCACAGTGTGGGAAAAAATCTTCACCTGCTCTTCCTCAGACAAAGGTCTACTATCTTGAATCTATAAAGAACTTAAAAATATCAGACCTCCCAAATTTAAAGACCCAATCCAAAAATGGGCATCTGAAATGAACAGACATTTCTCAGACAAAGAAGTAGAAATAGCAAATAAATACATGAAAAAATGTTCAACATCACTGGTCATTGGAGAGATGCAAATGAAAACAATGCTGAGATTCCACCTCACCCCAGAAAGAATGGCTGCTATCATGAAATCGACCAACAACAAATGCTGGCGGGGCTGTGGGGAAAGAGGAACCCTGCTCCACTGCTGGTGGAAGTGTAGACTGGTGCAACCACTGTGGAAATCAGTATGGAGATACCTCAAAAAACTAGGACTGGAAGTCCCATTTGACCCAGCTATTCCCCTGCTGGATATCTTCCCCAAAGAATTAAAAGAATCATACCACAGTGATATATGTGCACCCATGTTCATAGCAGCACAGTTTCTAATAGCTAAAACTTGGAAACAGACCAAATGCCCATCAAGTGGAGACTGGATCAAGAAAATGTGGGGTATTTTTATAAAATGGAGTGCTACTCAGCCATCAAAAATGAGAAATTAGAAACATCTATTGCTAAATGCATCCACATTAAGGTGATACTCTTAAGTGAAATAAACGCGACACACATGTGTAAAAAAAAAAAGAAGCTCAAGATATTTCAGTTGGGAAGAAGAACTCCAGTGGCACTTGGAATCCAGACCATGTATGTTAAACTCTGGCAGAAAATCTGTCTACATTTTGCTCATGTCCTGAGACTTTGTAGGCAACTGAGATTAAGGGTGGCAGACTACTTAATCCGGTGGAGGAAACATCAAGGCAGCTTAATGTTGAGGCCATGGCATGGATATTGTTAGGGGATTTTAGCCAGGTTTACACTGAAACTCAGGAGCAAAGAGTCCATGTTAGAAGTTTTCAGTTTTGGCAGAAAGAAAGTACCTGCAAAGAGGACCAAAGGAGTGCTTGGTTGCTGAAACTATTCTCATTAAAAAGAAGCCAATTAGTTTGGATCAGAACAATAAGAAAAGTGCCTTGAGGAGATGTGAGGAACCAGCAAGGCTCCACTTTTCACAAGGTCAAAACTGCAAAACTGCTTTGAGAAGAGAACCCCAGGACACTCTGTTGGAGAAGGGCTGCCTAGGGAATTGATTCCCTTGGATTCAGTTTACTGTGCTCAGTCATCCAGGCACTCAGTGACTGATGATGCAGCCACAATTCAAGGAGACCTGGCTACTGCTCACACTGATAGCAGACCTTGGAGTCTGTGTGGTGCTGGTTTTACAGGCAAGCAGAATCTAAGAGTTGTGGGGTCAGAGAAACTTCCAACCAGAATTCAGAAAAATCCCTTGGAGGCCAGGCAGTGTTCCCTGAAGAGGGCATTGTCTGATGCTGAGTGTGAAGCCAAAAGTGCTGTGGAGATCTTAAAAAGCTAAAGAAGCCAGGAACATGGGATACCTGCTCAGGAAAGCTGCAGGCAGTGAGGAGCAGAGCCAGCTCAAGAAAGAAGCCATGAGGGCTACAACACCACCAGTAATGCCGTGGGGCTAGGGTCCTCCAAGGCATTTGAAGCTTACATCTCATCACAGCTTCCCCACATGCTGGACACAGAGCTACAGGACTTAATGTCAGCCCTACTGGGTTTCAGTCTTGCTTTGGTCCAGTTGCTTTCTATCTCCCTCTTTTTTCCTCTTGGAACAGGAATGTTTACCCTGTGCCATTGTATGTACGTTAGGCGCTGACAACTAAGAGTTTACCTAAAATCTTAGAGGAGAGTTTGGATGAACTTTTCAGCAATTCTGGACCTATACTTTGACAACTCTTAGAGATGGACTTTGAAAATGCATTTTGCATAAAGGAAGTCTTTGGAAGGGTGGAGCAGAATGTTATGGTTTATATGTAAATGTCCGGAAAAGCCTTGGGCCCTCATAAGTGGGGTTTTTGACAGGTGATTGGATTATGGTGTAGTATGGCCTATTTGCTGTTAGGCAGGGTCTGGCTGGAAGAAGTGGGTCACTGGGGCCACAGCCTGCAGAGTTTATCTCCTTCCCCAGTTCCTCACTTCATGTTCTCTGCTTCCCCTCAGCTATGCAGCCCTGCTGGGAGCCAACAGACTATGGACTGAAACCTCTACAAACTGTGAGCCAAAATAAACCTTTTCTCCTTTAAGTTGCATGTGTTGGATATTATGTCCTATGACTAAGACAATGCCTGTCTCCCTCTGTGGACTGCAAACTCCTTGGGGTCAGGCCCCACATCTGTCTCACCTCATTTATACCTGTATCTCAGTGCTGAGCCATACTAGACACACACATGCACACTCAATAACATTTAATGATTTGGTAAACACCTTTAGCATTCAAGTAAGTAGCACAGTGCTGTGATTGTGATGTTCACCCAAATCCTCCTTCAGGAATGGAAGATTTCACTTCAGTCTCCTCCCTACCACTCAGAGTGCTGTTGGTAGACACCCTCAGCTGTCAGCTTTCTTTGGGGAATGCCCCCCATTAAAGAGAGTCTCAAATCATGCCCTGTTCCAGGGCCACTTTGCATTCAGTGACCAATCAGTGCTGGGTTTAAGGCCCAGCCCCTTTTATCACTCAGCACAATTTCTACGGGACCATCTCAGCTTCAAAGCTCTGAGGGTCTCCTGAAGAATCTTGGGATGATATCATGGATGAACTTCTGCTCTCCTTCCTCCATCTCTCTTTCACAAGAGTATATCCCAACAGCACCCCTAATAAATGCCTTGCACCTTAATCTTCACCTGAGTCCTGGGTAACCCAGTCCATGATGGGTACTACACAAACGTTGACAAACTGAATATTGTGATCTATGGTAATCCATATACTCCTCACCAGCAATGATCAGTTATATGCCCTTCCATCTGCAATGATTAGAAGGTGCCTTTCATGTAGCAGACATCACAAGCACAACAAAGGAAATATTACCCCCAATGTGGTCTAGATTCAGCTAAAGTCTTCCTATGCAAAGTGTGGTCCTTTAGCCAAGGGCATTGTCATTCCCCGTGTCACTCCTTTTGTCAGAAATGCAAAACCTTATTTCCCAACCTGGATCAGACTTGCTGAAACAGAATCTACATTTTCTCAAGATCCCTAAGGTTTGCATGTACATTAATGTTTGAGAAAGACTGAGATGATCTAGCTGAGAATTTCTCTCTAGTTTGGGCAGTCTCTTCATGTGTTTTTTGTTCTCTAAAATTTTCCTTAAAGCTAGCACAATTGTGCATTTCTTCATTCCACAAACACTATTTCAGTTTCAAGGAAACATTTCAACCCTGTAGAGTTACATTCTAACCAAGAGATAATAAAATTAAGGTGGATATTTTAGGGTGGGGGAAGAGGAAAAGTGGTATGAAAAATAGGGCAGGGTTAAAAAGAGAATAGGGGAATGGGTTGCATTTTAAAATATTTGCAAAGGACAGTGTTAAGCATAGAAGCAGAGGAGGTAGCTCACCGTGTGCTCAGTGATTAGGAGCTGCAGTAGATTCAAGACCAATGCGGCTGGAGGGAAGGGGAGCATGCCAACTATCAGAGAGTCAAGAGGGCGGCTGAGAGCTGCTTAAAGTCTCGCTATTTGACATTTCACTCCTAAAAAAATAATGCAGGTTGTTTTCTCTCCAAGAATAAAGACGTTCTCGGCCAAGCCCAATGGATTTGGGTTGTGGGAGCTTGCACAAGCCATTTCACTAGCGCAGCCTTAGGTTCCTACGACAAAACTTCAGGGATTGGAGAAGACCTTTAAGGGCTCTTTCTGTTCTGAAATCTCATGCTGAAAGATGCCTCCATGAGATGTCCAGGCTATGGACCAGGCAAAGTTCTGCAACCCCGGGACACTACAAAAACAGGAAGAGAAATTGCGGAAGGTGATGCCAAGCTGAAATAAAGGGGGATTCAACTTGGGACACAAGTTCCTCACGTAGGCACGAGCCCAAATCTTAACCATAGATTGCAGCCCTCACGCCCTGCGCTCGCGTGAAGCCACCGCTTCCCTAACAAACTCTGCCCTCCTCGCTCACTCACGGTCTAGAGGCCCGGCCCCGCCTCCCACCGCCACGCCCACTCTCCGCCCACAAGGTCGCTTTACCGTATCACTCCCGGCTTTCCGGCGGGGTTTTAACTCCGCCCCCTTCCCCGCCTCCCCGCGTCCGACCCACTCTGGGTCTCCCTGGCCACTCCAGGCCCCGCCTCCTCCCTGCCCTGATTCTGCAACCACGCCCCACCAGGCTTCCTCAGCTCAGTCTCCGGCCTGCATATAAGTGGCGGCGGAAGTGATGTAGGGTAAGGCCAGGCAGCCTGGCAAATCCTGCGGCTGTCTGCCGTAGCTCTGAGCTGGCTCCGGGGGGTGGGTCATCATGGGTGCTGGCATGGCTGTCCTCGTCCTCCTGATCCTTCTTGTGCGGTCCGGGAGCAGGGCTGAGATGAGCACCGCGGAACCAGAGCCGTCCTCGGGTACTGTCGCTCGCGGCTGATCCACGGCCGTGTGAGATCGGGCGGGGACGGGAGGGGACCGCGGGAGCCGCCCCAGCCGGGAAGCCCTGCCCGGTCGGGCCCCCCGGGCTTCTCCGCGGCCCCGGGGTCCTGGGCTCGCCTGGGCAGCGGCGACGCAGGGTCTCGGCCAGCACAGCTAAGCATGCCGCCCGGTTTGTCTAGACTTTAGTCTCTATTTATTAACAGTCTGTTTTTCAGTGAGTTTTCAGGTCAGCGTTGGGCACTGCGTCCGCTGCTGCTGGCTTAAATACTTCAGTCTCAGGGTGCGCTCACAGTCTTGGGCAGGGGAGAAGTTTTCCGTCGCTCCTTGGAGTTATTAACTGGCGGTAAACAGTCGTCTTGCGTCTAAGCATGGAAGCTGTGGGATGCACACGCTCAGTAGCAGATTTGTCTTTAGGTCTCTTCGCATAGTTAGGTGCTTGGAGCGTTGTATTTCTGCCTGCTTGTGACATTTCCCAAGAAACGAATACTGGAAATAGCTTTTATGAAGCTCAGAGTTATTAGGAGTTCCAGTGAAATCAGTAAACCTGTTCAGCTAACCCTCCCACCCCCGTGTCTCCGCAGTTTCCAGTTACCTACTGCCTGGAATGCAAAGGAAGGCCCAGCTTCCTTAACCCCTAGTGAACTTGGACCTGAATCTCTGTATTCTCTGTTCTTCCTTGAGTTCCTGTTATGTTCACTCCACCCTATCGGTCCCTCCTTCGGCTTAATGTTCGAAAGTCAAGCCAACAAATATCTACTCGTTCCCTTGGGACAGACATAGTGCCAAATTGTGAGAAGACAAAAATCCAGTGGTTATTCAGTTTCTGCTTTCAAGCATCATGATAAGATCCACGATAAGAGTTACAAACAGCTGGGCACTGTTGTAAACATCTCGTATTCACAACAGTGCTGTAAAGTAGGTGCTGTTGTTGGTGTTTCTGTTTATGGGTGAGAGATTGATAAGGCACAAAGCTTCCCGCAGAAAGGAAACTACTACTCAGTGAGGAGCTGGGCCATTGGCTCCAGAGTTCTTAACCACTCTGCCAACTGCCATTATCAGGGTGAGGGCAATCAACTGCAAAATGCCATGCAAGACCTTGAACTTATGTGTAGGCTACTGTAAAGCAAGATGTGAGTCCTGGCTCTGTCCAGTGGAATTAGGAAAAACTTTACAGAGAAGGTTACCTCAGAGAACGTTACCTCTGCAGGTGCTGCTGCAGAGACGGGAAACAGTGTTGAGTTTGTGGACAAGTGTTTTGTCTAGGCTACGTGTGTAAGAAGGGTACAAGGGGAAATAGAATAGATGGAGAGGTAAGAACCAAGTAGTGAAATGCCTTGTCATGTATAATGCAAGGGATAGAAAGACAGCTTTGGATTACTATAGCAAAAAGGAAATTATTGGCTCAAAATATCCAAGCAACAATTAAACAGGAAAGTAGAGATGTCTGCTGGGTCTCAGAAGCGAGAACCAAGAGCCCAGACTGTTAGAACTTGTCTTTTCTTAGTTTTTTCTGGGCATTGACAGCTTTCTCACCTTGGTGGGAATCATGGAAGATATCATGCTGATAGTTTTTGAGGGTTAAAATCATGCACCTTTGCCAGGCATCAGGGCACCCCGGGCTCCCAGCTACTTGGGAAGTTGAGGCCACAGGATCACAGGTGCAAGGTTGGCCTGTGCAATGTAGCCAGACCATGTCTCAAAAATTAAAAGATAAAGGGTTGGGGATGTTCATACATGCAGTTCTGAGTACTGCGCCCCCCACCCAGTCTCGCAGCTTCTTCCATCCTAACAAAACCCCAGCTTGGTTAGGTGCCAGCTCATATGGAAAGGCCATGCTCAAAGGGAGTAGGGTGGGAACATTCCTAGAAGCAGCAGCATGGTGTTCCTGCAAGCCAACAAGACAATCTACAAACTGTATCCCTGGCTGAAGTCACTGGGCAGCCACTGGATTATTTTACAAAGGGAAATGATTTTATGCAGAATTAACTATGTCATTTAGAAAGGCCAGTCTAATTATAAAACTTTGAGGGAGGAGATCTGTTAACAAGCTGTTGCTTGAATCTGCGGAGGAGCAGGTGAGAAGTGGTAATTCTAACCGAGAAAAGAGGACAGTGTGAGGAACAAGTAGGAGACAGTCGGTAGAACTCTGTACACAGAGATCGGGATGACTCAGATTCCTGTCTGGGATGAAGCACTACAGCAAGCGCCAGCCCCTTCCTTGTACATGCAGGTTCCTCCTGAGCCCAGGGTCCCTTTGGGGCTGCACAATCTGCATGTCCTCCAGGCCTGCCCTGGAAGTGGAGCTGCCTGCCAGCGTCCCAGGCACAGATCCGCAGCCTTCTGTGCCCTGGCGTTTTGTCAGCACAGGGGTCAGTGAGCCCCGCCCCTATCTGTCAAAGTTAATTTAAAAAACAAGGCCCTCTGTGTGGGGGAAAACCCACAGAGACACCTGTTTCTGCTTCTTGGTTAGTTTCCCATTCTTGCTAGTGCCTCCATGTGTTAACTCTTGCTGTTCGCTTGGCTTTGGAGTGGGGAGATCATGTTGGGTGAAGGCATCCAATGGAACAGGCAAGCAGAAAAGAGTATGCGGTGATACAGTCAGTGTCTGGAAAACCAAGTGTTTGCCAGTGTATTATGTCACAGTCATGGGCTTTCATATTTTTTCAGTGAAAATAAAGGCAGTGTGCCCCTAGCAGCCAGTGGCATTTCATCCGTATGGTTACATATGAAAGTAGTGTGTATATTTTTAAGTGAATTGGGTTGGCTAGTGGCCCCCTTCTTCTGGTTTGCTGTTCTGCTCTAATGGTATCTAAATAACTGAGCAGGATATGTCCCCAGACTGGGCCTCTCACCTGACATTTTGTAATTTATCAACTGCAGGGCTACTGATTCTCTGACTTTAGGACAATGCCTTGGGCAGTGTTTAAATTTTTCACTTTTATGTTCAGATTCTGTTTACTTACTTCAGAAGCTCAAAATACTGAAGATACCACATTTTAGATAGTACTGTAGTAGAACAGAAGAGCAAACTGTAACAATACAATCTGAAAAGAGTGGGTTCTTGTAATTTTCTTATTAAACAGTGTCTCCCAGTGCTTAGTAATCAGAACACTATATACTTATTTCCTTCTTGTCTATTGTCTGTCAGTAATGATTTACTGTAGAACTTTGCTCAGGTTTTGCACGCGCCATCATATGATTGTGGTAGAGTAGTAAAACCAGCCAACATTACTGGAAGCAGATGCTTATGAAGTCATTAGAAAATAATCATCGCATGGGAAGGGATCTAGAGATGGAGGGAAGGAATCTAGAGATGGAGGGAAGGAATAGGGTCGGGAGGGAGGGAAAGTAAAAAAACCCAACGTGTGTTATGTACATGTTGGCTGCCCACAATGATTGTAATCAGTAGCTATAGCAAACATATACTAATAAAAGACAAAATAATCATTATCCCTTCTTCAGCGGTCACAAGGATATTTCTTTAAAATGAACAAAATTTGGCTTATTGTCAAGTGTTTTCATAACTTCCTTAAGCCCTTGTTTTCTCACAGGTGTAGTATGTAATAATAATGTGCCCATCATTGGGTGATTTGGGGGATTATGTGAGATAATAAAAAAGTTGAGCACATTGTATGTCCTGTAGTAAATATTTAATATATATGAATGATTACTACTCAATATTACATGTCATTTTTAACAGATATACTTTAAATATTGTTTTGCTTATATATAAGAAATTGTATTGGCTTTTAAACATCAAGAGTTATCCAGATCATGAGAAATTTAAAATATGTTCAGCAGCAGTCATTCTACCTTTTCCCTCTTTTTTTATAAGCTGAAAAGACCTGTTTTATTTTTTCAATTCCCAGACTACTCTCAACTTAGAATAAATTAGTCCCAAAGAGGATTAATCCTCAGTATTTTTCTCAAGGATTAGATCAGTCTAGTCCAGTCAGAACTCATTCTAGCCCTGTCCCAGTTAGATGAAATTGGATCAACAGGAACAAGAATATGCCACTGCATGGCCCTTTTCTGTAGTCTCAGCTACTCTGCAGGCTGAGGCAAGAGGATCTCTTGAGCCACAGCATTTCAAAACCAGCCCGAGCAACACAGTGAGACCCTGTTTCTTTCGTAAAAAGAGAATAAAATCCTAGCTTTTAGACCAGAAAGATAGCTAAGCAAGTATTTATTGGATAAGCTCTAATCAGGTGGTAGTTTGGGAGAAAAATATTTGGCAGGAGGAGAGAACTATTTTATAGTAAACTACAGTTTGTATGTACAGCTCTCTTTTTAAAGAGAGAGGAAGAAAAGAATTTATTGACATCCGTTGCATTACTTCTGGGCTCCACATTTTAAGAGAATGCATGAAGCACCAGAACAGGGCCTGAAAAGAAGAGACGACTTCAGGAACACTAGGGATCTTGACCTAGCTGAGGAACAAGTATGTACAAGTAAAATACTACATATTGGAATATTTTAGGCCTCACTGAACTCTTAGTTCTTAAATTGTCTTTCTCTAAAGGTACATGGCAATGATCAAAGGAAGTAGAAAGTGGGCCATTCCTCCATTAATTTCACATAGTGATTAATGTGATTTCTTTCAAAGCCCAAAAATGTTGAAATATCTCAGTTCAAAACTTGCATGAACACCTGAAACATATGCAGGAACTCTCAAAATGTCCTTTTGTAGCTTAAATGTAGGGGATAAGCATAAAGAAAAGTAGCCCTTTCATCAGCACTGCGATGCCACCGAGAAGCAAGTTTGTACTTGTAAATTTATTCTGATAGGCTTATGATTTTTTGTATGTGGTCTGAATTTCTCCAGCCGTTTCTCAATTTGCAGTAAAGAAGAAACTTCTGTAAAAGAACCCATGCCCCTATATCCTCAACTTTGGAAAGGTGTTAGATCTTTGTTCTTAGAATCATTCATTCAGAGAAGGGCTCAGATGCTTCAGTCCAGAGCGTTTGGTTTTGAGTTGTGTATCGGATGACTTCTGAGTCACAAAAACGATGTAATTACTGGCCCCTTCATCCTTCAATGTATTCTTTCCATAGAGTAAGTAAGCAGATTGTCAAAGGATGGCTGCAGAATCTGTAGCTCCAGTCCAGTGTTGGTGTACACGTCTTTTATACAGTCTTTGTACACTAGCATGTTAAAAAGGACGGTGAATGCCTTGGGCTGTCCCTCTTTCAAAAACAGCATTTGCTTTTGGCAGTTATGCATTGGAGCATGGGTGACAGCCCTTATTCCTATCACTTGTCTGCAGAGGAAATTGCGTGTCCTCAGATTGTTATCTGCAGGTGTCTGAATTTTGCCTCCCCCACCACTCTGTATTCACCAGTAATTATTGAAGAGCTCTTCTGTCTGTTATTTTTTGTCCTTTGTGACATTCCTATTGTCCTGTCGGTGACACTGCGCCAGTGCTGCTGACTTTCAGCTGTCTTAGTTTGTCCTGTCCATTGCTGTCCTTTGGTATCCTGCCTCTTTTGCCTGTTTATCTGAGAAAACAGTTGGCTCTAGCCAGAGTTCTCTTTTTCTTCTGCTTTGTACTAGAGTGTAATGAAAACTGATATTTCTCTCCTGTTTTTAGGGTTTTGTTTTGTTTTGTTTTGCTTCCCCTTCTGCTCTTTACCCTCTTAACTCCTTCCTGTGTTTAGTTTTGTTTAATCTCAGTTTAACTCCTCTGTGGGAGTTTTGGGAATTAGGTCTTTTAAAAGCTAGAGTTTATTATAGGCAGTTTTTAGACAAAATGTATAAAGTAATTCTGAGCCCATTTTTGAAACCAGTGGAGCAATCTAGGCATTTTCAAGAGATGGAAAAATCTATGTTTATTTTAAATCATTCTAATAGAATCTCTCTGTAAACTCTGTAGATAATTCTATTCTTTTGCTATCTTTCTGTATCTTTTTTACTTATACAATATTAATGTATTATGGCTAGAAGCTTATTGTAAGCCTTAATTATTTTTTTCTGAATATGTAGTAGTTTAGACTGCAGGTTATAAAAAATCTGAAAGTATGAGAAAACGACTCATGTATGTTTATTGTGTGATTTTGACAAAGACAGATATCTAATAACTGCATGGTTTCTCTTCAGGTAGCATTAAAACCACAGATTGTGTTTTTGGTGCAACTATTCAAAAATTTCTCCTTTGGTAGTAATTTTGGTCTGCTAGAATCCATTAAAACTTCTTCCTATCAGTAAGTGTTTGACTTGACTGCTTTCAAAGTTGAGATTTAAGTTCTTCTCCTACTCTAACCATGGTAGACTTTAAGTAAAATTATGAGAAACATAGTCTGTTTCACATTAAAAACTAATGTTGCACAAGTCTACTGTTGTTTGTGATTTTATAATATGTGATTTAGTAATTCCTTCCTAAGTACAAATACACATTGCTATTTTATTTAGATTGACTTCTATATCCCTTTTTCTCAAAACAGGAATTTCAGATTGAATATATATAGTTATAAAATCATTTATTAGGACTAATTAAAAAGAGGGGCTTAAAAGGAAGTGAAAGACTTGTTATTGGGAACTGGAGGAAGAAAGATCCTTGTTAAGTAGCAGCAGAGAGCCTAGCAGTAAATGTGCCCGATGATCTAGCACAGGAGATTTCCAATCAAAGTGTTAAAGGCACCACCTGGTTTCTTGTTTCTTGTCTAAAGTGTGAGACTAGACAGATTCGTCATGGAAGCGACTATTAAAAAGAAACCAAGACCTGATGGTTTGGAAGTTGTCAGCCTCTTGAGAGTCAAAAGATGCTAAAATTAACAAATGACTGCTGAACTGAAGGAGATGGGGGGGCAAGTGGCTTTTATTTCTGTAGAAGCCATGGATCTTTACTTGAAACTAGATTGTTTCATGAAGGTGAGGTACAAACTTACCATAGATGGAAAAACACTCAGGAGGCCTCAGGATTCCCGCTGGGTATGCCCATGGGCACTCTACCAAAACTAAAAGAGAAGAGCCAGAACCAAATCTGGTGAGGCCAGAGATTTGGGGGCTCCTTGGGCTCTGCCTAGAGAACCAAAGATGAGCACCAGGAGCCATCAGCAGTGTAAGTAGAAAATCTGTAGTTGTCTTGTTACGGGCCATAAAAAGATGATTAGTTGAGAGTATTTGAACCTGTGAGACCACCCTTTCTCCCCCAGGTTTATAATCTCGGCCTTTGGCACACATTGTGACACTACTTTGGTAAGTGAAATGGAGGTTAGGTATTTTGGCAGAAGCTAAATCTTTTCTTCCAAGGGGTTGGCATAAAATGTATCGGTTTACCATAAAGCATTTGGATTTCAATTTCTTCCCCTCCTAAATAAATAAGAAGCTAGGTGTGGTGGCATACACTTGCCTGTAATTCCAGCTCCTTGAGAAGCCAAGGCAGAAGGATCACAAGTTCATGGGCAGCCTGGGCAGCCAGCTTTATAAGACTGTCTCAAACTGCAGTTTGTAAAAAGGGCCAGGGATACAGCTCAGTGGTAGAGTACTTGCATGTGGGCCCTGGGTTCAGTGAACAGTACTGAGAACAAATAGCAAACTTAAAATTACAAACATATAAAGCAGAGTTCCTCACTTTTGGTACTGCTGGTGTTTGGGGCCAGATTATTTATTGTGATGAAATACCCTGTGCGTTGTAGGTTATTTAACAGCATCTTGTGTGGTCTTGACCATCTCCCTGTGTTGTGAGAACCAAAACTGTCTGTAAACATTGCCTAGTGACCCCTGGAATAAAATCACAACCTGCTGAGAGCCACTGCCATAAAGGAAAAAAGTTATCAGAAAAAGAAAAGGCTGATGCTAGAATTTAATTATCCATAACTGCCTATTATTTACCTAAATAACTTGATCCATGTTCTGCTTTGAAAAGACAATACATGTATTAAATAATTAATTATAAATTAAAACAATGTACCAGTTTGGGCTTTGGGGGGAATTTTTATTTTAGGAAAGATTGGAATTTGGGGATTTTTATTTTAGAAAAAATGTAGTAGGCAAAAAATTTCCTTCAATAGTGAGCAAATATTTTATGTATATTAATTCATGACTTACTTGATAGATAAGAAATCTAAAGTAACTGTTTAGCAGTATAATCAGGAAATATCCCAGGTTTCTTAATGTCTGACCCTATGAGGCTTTTCACTTTGTTTGCTTTGTTTTGTTTTCTAAGTGGTCCAGGTGAGTGTCATTACCTTCCAAGGTGTCTTGCTAAAATAGAAACTCAGGCTTGGACACTCTCCAAAGATAGTGATGTTATCTTTAGAAACCACTGCACCTGGCCACATTTATCATTCATTTATTTATTTTTATTTTATTAATGAATCATGGTTGATGGAGTTTCCCAGCTAGGTAGGATGGATTACCCTTAAATTTTGAGTCGTATCACTAACTATGTCCATACCTTTATGTTCATCCTCCTGTTCACCACGTGACTCTTTCAAGTATTCCCAATAAATGTTTTCTGAAATGGTTTTTAAAAGTGAAGACAGAAAGAAATGTTGGATATGTTTTGTAAAAAGCACTGCATTCCACGGAAAGCAAAATATTGATGAAACTGGGATAGTCAGTAGTTCCTTCAGTCAGTCCTTAGGTGCCTGTTCTTGTGCTGTAGAAATGGTATTAAAGATGTAATGTTCCTGGGTGTAGGGGTGAGGGCTTGCCACATTGTAGACGGAAATTATCATACCTGATATGGACAGTTCTTCTCTAGACATTGACTATAACCTACAGTGTCAAGCTTCGAAATTCTAGGAATTAAGAAAATTAAAGAATATTATTATTACACTAGGCATTGTATTTATTTATCAAAAACTCCTAAAACATTATGGGAATTTATTGCTTCATGTTATATTTGTGTTTCTCTTACACACAATGAGATTGGCACCATTTAAAATGACCCTCTCCTGTCCGTCGAGTAGATGGGCTAGGAAGCCAGGCTGAGCAGTAGGCATACTTGGGCCCCAGCAGAGTTGAACAATGTGTGGGAGAGGGAGGGAGGAATGACACGTCCCCCTCCACCCTGTGTGCCCAGGCTCAGGCCCCAGTTGCCCTCCTGGTCCTCACAAGACAGATTGTACCTCCAAAAAATAAAATAAAATAAAAAATTAAATGAATCAAAACTCTTTTGTACCCTTTGAAATCATTTTACTCTTTATTCTATTGAAATTGATTTTTCAAATATATTTGACTAACATGACATCTTACGATGAGATTTTGTAATGTTAATATGAGTTTCTTACTGTTGTCTGTTTTATTTTTTCAATCTCTTACAGTGCCTGTGCCAACCAATGTTAGAATTCAGTCCTATAATTTGAACCCAACGCTGTATTGGGACTACCAGAGCATGCCCCAGACTCCTGTTTTTACCGTAGAGGTAAAGTCCTACGGGCGGTGAGTATAACTCTTTTATCCTTCCAATTCTGTTTTTATCTAAGTCCTTGAACATTCCATAACTCTGTGTTTTCCTTCCATCATCCTTCCTTCCTACATGACAAAGCTTTCTGAACTGCTTGTAGACATCCAGAGATGCTTAGAATACAAATTAATTCTTTGTAAAATACTTCCTCTTTCTCTTATCAGTACTGAAGTAAAGAAGTATCATTAACTTCTAAAAAATTTTTTCTCTCTAGTCTTTATTGAGTGATTGATTGATTGTTGTTTTTTTGAAACTAAGTCTTGCTCTGTAGCCCAGGTTACCCTCAAACTCACTGTATAGCCCAGGCTGGTCTCAGATTCCTGGTTCACCCTCCCAAGTGCTGAAATTAAGCATTGTGCCACCATGCCTGATTGCAAAAGCTGTTAATAAAGTATAGCTAAATTTATTGTAATTAATGGAAGAAATAAGAATGCCACATTGAGCAGTAGCAGTGTCTCAGAGTAGTTACAGCTCAAGTGGTCCTAAATTGGAAGATTTCAGTGTAGATTATTCTAATTTTTTTCCTCATAATTTAATTGAGATATTTTTTGATAGGCATACTACAAAGACAATTTTGTGTCCAGTGTACAGAACATGATGAAAGTTTGTCCCATTATTAATTTGGTCATTAGCCCTCAGCTGTATCCTTTGCATAAGTTCTTTCAAATATACTTATGGGGAGAAGATTTATGAGGATATAAATGTCCTGTTCACATAAATCCATATATATTTTTAGCACCCATGGATTATTGGTATTATTACTATGATCAATACGGAGTTCATAATTTGTTTTCAACACTGTTTGAAGCCTGAAACAGGCACTCTCATACATATCTCTGGCATGAATGCAAATTAGATCTGGCCCTTTGGGAAGAATTTGGCAGTATTTCACACAACTTCACTTCCCTTTTTTTTTTTCTCCCCAGTAGGAGGGACCAAACCCAAGTCCTCACACATGCTAGGCAAGGCTCTAGCACTGAGCTAAATCCCCAGCCTCCTTAGGTTTAACTCTTTATCTGATGATCGTGCATCAGGAACTTGTCCTTAAGATACACTTACTAAAATGCAGTTTAAAGACATTACCCAGCAGGGTGGGAAGGTGCACACCTGTAATCCCAGACCTCTGGGAGCCTGATGCAAGATCAGAAGTTTGAACCCATCCCAAGCAATTTAGGGACTTAGCAACACCTTTGTCTCAAAATAAAAAATCATAAAGGGGCTGGACATGTATTTCAGCGCGAGGGTCCTGGGTTCAGTCCCCATTAAGAAAAAGCACACAAACAAGGAAAAGATATTACCCCATGGGCTGGGGATATGGCTCACTCAAAGCACTAGCCCTAGGTTTGATCCTCAGCAACTCTAAAAAATAAAAAGACATTACCCACATGCAAAGAAAAAAATTCTTATGAACTTATATGCAATGATCTCTTAAGGTGTATTTTTAAATGACAAAAAGCAACTAAGGTCAATAAAGTATATATAATATACTTGCTTGGGGGCAAAAAAGAATGAGAAGAAATATTTACATAGGTATTGCCTTAATTTTGAAAAAAGAAATAAGCAAAAACCTGAAGCCAGTGAAATTGACTACCTGCAGAAGGTAGGTCATAGATAGGATTCAACTCCGATCCATTAGTCTAAAATAATCGGGACATGTCAAAAGGATCCAGGACCCATCTTGAATAGGTTTTCCCTGGCCAAAGGTATGACCGCAAATAAGAACATAATACATTGAAATAAGAAAGGAATTCCATTTCTATATTATGGTTAATTAATAAAATAAAGAAAATGAAAAGCTCTTCTGTGGACAAATGACTTTGAAGATTTTAAGGCATGACAAATGAATCTGATAAAGATACCATCTTTTTATAGTGTATTTTTTTACTAGAAAGATAAATTTCAAAAAAAATTGATAACTGTTAGGAGTCTGTTATGTGTTTGATCCTATAATTAGATCACATTGATGTTAAAGGAATCTAGAGTTTAAAACATTTTAAAACTTAGATGTGAAATGTAGTTTGTACAGGTCTTAGAGTTTGAATTAAACCTCTATATTATAAAGGAATGTATAGTGTCATTTTTGAGTATCCCTTATCTGAAATGCCTATGACCAGAAGTATTATATATTTCTGATTTTTTTCGGATTTTGAAATTTTGGCATATACATAATTAGGTATCTTGGGGATGGAACCCAAGTCTAAACATGAAATTCATTTATATTTCATATAGGTCTTATACACATACAGAAGGTAACTTTATACACTATAATTTTATGCATGAAACAAAGTTTCTTGGTGTGGAATTTTTCTGGTCTGGCATCAAGTCAGTGTTCAAAAACTTTTGAATTTTGCAACATCTTGTGTTTCTGATTATTTTGGATTAAGGATGCTGGACCTGTACTTCCACCCAAAGTAAAGATTTCCTACTTTGTCTAGTTCTCCATTCTATTCTAACTCAGCTCTTCCTACCAGCTTTGTGCTATAAGTGAAAAATATAGCACAGAGGTGGTTCAAGTTTATGATAACAATAAAAGTTACCTTTGTGTTTATTCTTTTTTGTTTTAGGAAAACATGGATATATGCCTGCAGCAATACATCTGATCATCATTGCAATATTCTTAATGTTCATGACCCAGATCTTCCTATTTGGGCCAAAGTTAAAGCTAGAATTGGACAAAAAGAATCTGCTTATGTAGAGTCCAAAGACTTTGTCATTTGCAAAGAAGGTATGTAGAATGAATACATGTAAATATTAAATTTGAAAATGTATATTTTCTGTGCATGTTTGCTTTTATTAGCAGTTGTTAAAAATGATCATAATGCTTAAGAAACATTTGGAAGAATTTAGAGACACCCAGTATCATTCCCTTTTCTCAAGCCCCACAAAGAGACAACCATCTCTTTGCTGCTTCCACACCATTAAGTTTCCACACCGTACAAATCCAGATCAGTGTTGTCCAGCTGTACTTTGTACCACCCTTTCCCTCCCCATGTGGTCTGTAATTCATTTCGAAGTACATTCACTGAGGACTTTGGCTCCTGGCTGTCATTCTTCTGTCTACCTTAAATCCTTAGTGTCTGTGGGAACTTGAATACCAACTTAATACATCAAAAAATTTTAGAACTCTTTCATCTTTCCATCCCCTGTGATTTTCAGCTCTTTATTCTTCCAGCGTCCCACTCCAATATATACCTGTAACTCCAGAATTTCCATGCCAATTCCTATTTTCTGAATATGATGTCCCACTTTGGTAATCATATTTCACTTCTAGGTTAGATACTTTTAGTCATTTGACTCTGCCATAGTCTGATAGTCCTCTGGTACCTTTTCTTCTAGCTTTTTTGTTCAGCTTCAGTGCTAGATTACTTGAGCTACTGCCTTTCCAGTGCTGCCCACTGCTTTCATTCTCCTACTTTTCAGATTGTGCCATTTAGGGCTCTTCCACAAGCCCTTTCCCTACTTGTCGTTTGAATTAGCTAACTTTCCCATTGTTGACATAATACCCAACACCCACAGCTCAGAGGAGAGGTTTAATTTGGCTCGTGTTTAAAGGTGGCTCAGTCCATGGTCAGCTGGCTCCAAGGCCAAAACATCATGGTGGAAGGGCATGGTAGAGCAGAGCTGCTCAGTTCATGGTGGCTGGGAAGCAGAGGTGCCAAAGAGAAAGAGGTGAGGGACCAGACAGAGGACCCCCTCTCCCAAGACCACACCTCCATGACCTATCCAGACCAGTCCCCCAGGTAGAGCCCAAAGCCAATCAAGTTGACATTCCACCCTAATCACCACACCCTTAAATATTTTATTCCCCAGAATCCATACATTTGCCATCTGATACATACTACCCGTATTGTGAGACTGATTTCTCAAGGGCCAGAAATGTGCTAGAGAGTATGCCAGACCCTGATGGACATTAAACAGGTCTTCCTAGCACAAAGTAGGTACTCTGTAAACATGAAGCATAGCTAAATGGTTTACCAGTGAGGTCCCAAACATCCACAATGACTATTTGCTGAATAATTAAATATCTAGTTCTGATTTTCACAATTAAAATTGAATTAGCAAATTTTTATAGAGCCTGCATGCAGGAACCCATGAAAGTTGAAGATACAGAGTTTTTCTGCCTTTCAGAAACAGTTTTTAGAAATCTGCTCTTTTCTTAATCTATAGAAGCAAAAATAAAAAGTGCTTAATAGAGCTTTTATTATGTCAAGGTTTTAATTTTTTTTAAATCAAGTCCATAGCCAATTGTATTTCTCTGGAATTAGAAATGGGGTTAAACTGCTAAAGAGGAGTTTGGATAAGAGAACCTTTTCCTGAGATTTATGAAATATTTATGAAGGGTATTTGGAATGTCTTCTAGATTTTTTGGAGTAGTTTAAAAGTGGTCCTACTTAGTCATGGTGTCCTATTCTAGTTAAAATGTGGTCCTGCTTTAGTAAAAAACGTAAAAAGAGTGGTTTAGTTGATTGATTTTGATAATTTTACTGTGAGGTTCCGAGGCCAGTATTAATTACATTGGTTTCTCCCCAGGAAAGGTTGGACCACCTGAACTAACTGTTACGCAGGAGGAAGACCATGTCATTATTGATGTGGTTGACCCAATAGTTCATGTAAGTGGAGAAAAGCAGGAAGCCATGTATGATGCCTGTTACACATTAATGTACAAAGTGTATGTGAGAGAGAACACAAGTAAGGTAGGTGTTATTTTTTGTGTATATTTACAGTGTACAGAGTTGATTTTTAGTTTGTTTTTTTACTCATCTTGGGGAATTGATATATATATATAAAACATCTTTTTCTGTAGCTAGTATATACTAAGTCATTTCTTTGTTTTATAATGAAAGTGATGCTTATGATAAATAGAACCCTTGGATCATAACTTTGGGAAGAAAACACATGTGAATGCTATTGAAAGGAACTCGTATGGAGTTATTCACTGACACTGACCAGATGAGTACTTTTAAGTTTTTTTGTGGCCTTGTTTAGCAGCACGGCCCTGTATCTCCAATGGTAAGGTGGGGATAACTTAATTCTTCTCTCCCTAGTGATGATATAAAATAATATGCATCTATAATTTGAATCATCAGTTTTGAAAAATAAAATAGTATAACTGTGGGGATGTAATTACATTATTCTGGCACTGGTGTGGGGTCCATGCATTGATTAGAACTATTCTCCATTCTCCACAAGGATGCCTCTTGTTTACTTGATAAACATTTATCAGACATATAGTATTGCCTAAGAGGCATCCAGGAGTGCAGGTGAGAGCAGAAGGGACCAAACTCAGGATTTCTGCTGTGCAGCAGGAAGGGTGGGCACTGTGTAGGGCTGGGCCAGTGGTTTTTAGAGCAGGTCTCCCAGGCAAGGTGGTAACTGCTGTCAAGGTCAGGTTGGGAGTTAAGCCCCATGGATGTACATGGGAGAGCATTTTGGGGCGAGGACCCAGCAGGGGTACAGTGGGCACATGAGGGGGGCAGCCGAGGGGCCGGTGGGGTTGGTGGGTGCAGGAAACAGGTGAAGGCAGAAGACATTGGAGGGATTTGACTTTGATCCATGTATTGTATCTTAGGAAGATTTGAGCAGAAAAGTGAGGTCTGATTTAGATTTTTAAAATATCTTCTCAGTTGTTGGCAGAGATGTCTTTCTAAAATGCAGATCTAATCATGTTACTCCACTGCTTAAAACTTCACAAATCCCCATTGGCTATAAAGTAATATCTGAATTTCCTTCCATGCCATGGCCTGCAGGCCCTTGTGATTTATTTAGCCTTGTGGGTCCTCTCCAGTCCGTCTTCCCATTCCCTCCGGCGTTGTTTTCACCCATGCTTTGGGGAGCTGCTAGTTTTGGATCCCTGAAACTGCCATGTTTTTTCACAGAATGCTCTTCTCACCCTTTTCCATCTGGCAAATTTCTGCTTATTCTTCAGTAGTCAGCTGAGGTGTCATCTCTGCTTTCATTCTTTTCTGACCAATAGACTTGTTTCTTTTCTGTGGTCCTGGTTCCATATAGGATTCCTCTGGCAGTATTCCTTATTCCTTGTTATGTTTCTTTCTTACCTCTCTTCAACTCTAAATCGTACGGTATTTGAGCCAGATACCACTATCTTACCTGTGTTTGTCAGCATTGTTACTACAGTGAAATCCCCCAGACAACAAACATATAAGAAGAAAAGGTTTACTCTCCCCATGATGCCCTTCAGTGCTAGGAATTGAACCCTGGGCCACACACATACTAGGCAAGCACTCGACCTCTGAGTTACACCCCTAGCCCAAGTGATTACATCTCAAACCAGACCAGTGGGGGGGGGTCTCATAATCCCTCCCAAGGGCACAGCCTTAATGACCTAAGGGCCTCCCATAAGGCTCCACCTCGTAAAGGTCCGCAGCACCTCACCACACCACCACCCTGGGGACCAAGCCTATTTTATACAGGGACCTTTGGAGGACCCGTAATCAAACCACAGTACAACTTTTGTGTCTTCAGGTCCTAGCACAGTTGACCACACACTGGCTGTGGAATGAATGATGAGCTTTACATCAATCATTTCTAGGTCCTACTGCCCAGAGATCCTGCAGCCTTTGTACAACACTTTAATTATGCTTCCCGTGAAACTTTACCGGCTAAGTTTCTAGCACTTTAGGATTAGGAGAAATTAATAGTTGTTTAGCAAATAGCAATGAACCTTCCTGCTATTCAAGTTTTTGATAGATGGACATCATCATGCTATGTTGTAATAAATTGACTATTTGATATCAGAAGTGTTTCAGATATGTTTAAGATTCATCATATATTATATACACTATATGGTATGTCTGTGTGCATGTGTGTGTGTGTGTGTTTTCTTTGGTGTTTGACCAAGGTAAGTACGGTGAGTATATTTTACAGATTAAAGAAGCTATTCATTTTTTTCCATATAGACCCTAAAACATGACCTTGCAGAAGATGACTGCCTCTACAGTCTATGCCAATTAAGAATTCCAGTGCCCTCACTGAATTCTGAGTACTGTGTTTCAGCAGAAGGATTCTCAAAGGATTGGGAAATTACAACTGAAAGGTCAGAAGAAGATTGTATTACCATTCGTAGTAGCAGCATAAAAGGTAAGTTCTTGCCATTTTTTTCTTTTCTAAATACAGAGAAGAGTAACTAAAAGAGGATAATGTATAAAGAGTCAAATTTACTTGCAAAAAATCTCTCTTAAAAACATTCAGTAGCTCCACTCCTCACAGAGGCAGTTTCTCAGCTAATAAAATGTACAGAGTAACCAATTTGGAAAGCCATTTGATGACCCAAGGAAAAAATATAATAAATATATAAAATTATGGGTATAAATATCTGCATTCAAAAGTTTATCATAGATAATTTGTAAAATATAAAAAACCAGAAGATGACAAAATTATGTGTAGTCCTGTCATTCCCCCACAGTATACCATTATTCACAGTTGTTTTCTTTTCATCCTATTTTTCTCTTTAGTTTTTTTATATGAAAAACTTTATTAAAGAAAATCCCTATGACGAAAACAGTTTTCCTCCATTGCCATTAGCTATGTTACTCGTCATAACAGAGTATTTGTAGTAAAATGGCCCTCTTTTATATAAAAATGTGCTAGATAAGGCCAGTGCATAATGTACCAATTATACAAGTTAAACCAATATCATTTAGATGAACTAGTAACTGATAATAGCATCAGTGTGTGATAGATTTGCTTTAGCTTCAACTGCAAATTGATACCAGAAGATCTGGTTACTAATTCTATCAATGTTTACTTTCTTTATTTACTAGAGTGTTTTAAAAATTAAGAGAAAAAACTGATTTCTGAGTGTATGATAATTAAAATTCACTATGTGCCAAAATTAATATTACTACTTTTAAATTTTTTTTCCCATAAGTTTATTGGTACATTTTAGGTACACGTTATGATCAGATTCATCATTGGAAATTTGTATAAGTACATGATATATATCTTAGTTCTTGTTTTTTTCCCTTCCACCCCTCCACTCTTCCCTATTTGCACAAGCCTTTTTTCTCATTAGTTTTTTTATGTATCCATTGTATTGTGTAGTGTATATAATTTTGTGTACTAGAGAGTTTTTTTCTTCACATACTCCCTAGAGTTTGTTTTGTGTTGTTGTTTTGATAATAATCATTCGAACTGGGGTGAGATGTCGTCTCATTATGGGTTTTTTGTTTTAGTTTTGAGACAAGGTCTCACTCTGTGGTTCAGGCTGTCCTTGGGCTCTTGATCCTCCAGCCTCAGCCTCCTGAGTGCTGGGATTGCAGTCATAGCACCACCCCAATCCACCTCTCATTGTACTTTTGATTTATCTCCCTAATGGCTAATGATATTGAGTGTTTTGGCAAATGCTTCTTGGTTATTTAGATACCTTCTTTTGGGAAGTATCTGTTCAGATTATTTGCCCGTATTTTAACTATATTACTTTTTTTTGGTTTTGAGTTTCTTATGTATCATGGCAAGTAATCCGTCATCAGATGAATAGTTGGCAGGTATTTTCTTCTATCCTTATTTTTGATCTATTCTGGTTTTTTTTTTTTTATGTCTTTGTGGTCCAATTTTGGTAGGTCTGATGTGTCCAGAAATGTATTTCTTCTAGCTTTTCCAGTTTGCTAGCATAGAGTTTTTCATAATAATCCCCATTGATCTTTTGTATTTTTGTTGAAAAAGGAATATCTCCTTTTTCACCTCCCAATTTTATTTACAGATACTTTTTTCTTTTCTTTTTTTTTCCAGTACTAGGGATTGAACTCAGGACCTTGTGCTTGTGAGGCAGGCGTGGCACCGAGCTAAATCCCCTGCCCTACAGATATTTTTTTGAAAAATGGAAATCAAGCTGAAGTGTTAGACCTAAAATTTAATGCCAGTAACTTCAAGCTATAAGTTTCAAGAAGGAGACTTAGAATAATGTAGTAGATTTTGTGCCAATTTACATTGTGCTGTTTGAAAAATAAAATGCAACTTAATGTAAAAAACTTGAAATACTGTAATGCACATGCTCTGGACCTATTTTCTTAAAAAGCCTAAATTGTAGCCAGGTAGTATGCACCTGTGATCCCACTGTGGGAGGCTGAGGTAGAAGGGTTGGAAGTTCAAGCCAAGCTTGGGCAGCTTATCAACTTAATGAGACCCTTTATCAAAATAAAAAATGAAGAAAAGGACTGCAGGTGTAGTTCACTGTGAAGGCTCTGGGTTCAGTCCCCACTACATACTGCCAAAAAAACCCCAAACCAAAACACAACAAAAAAGCCTGAATTATAAAATGATATTACAGCCACATGGTGGCAGCACTATGCCTTTGAGCGGCAGCCCCTCCTGTGGGTGTCAGGGCCTTACGCACTGCACTTTAGCAATCCAGGGATTAGCGTGCACTCTGTTGTTATGTTGTCTTTTACTATGTAATGGCTTGATTTCTTCATATCCGGTAACGAGCATGGTGTAAGCGTAAAGTACTGACTTCCACAGTTACTTTTCCAAAGGATTAACTTTGGAAGAGAAACTAGAGAAAATTAAATATCACAAACAGGAACACACATTGCCACAACATGGAGAGTACTGTTAATGGTTTTTTTTAGAAGACAGCATTATGAAAAACTGCTAAAGATTGTGTTATGAAACTAAAAGGCACAGTAGAGTAAATGCACAATGGCAATAAGAGATATGTGGTCTTCCCTACTTTTTATGTTCTTCATACCTGGCTTGCTGTCCTGAGGACTTTATTCCTGTATGTTTGTGGGCTTCTGTGTACTTTATAAGTATTTGCACTCTTGAAATAACTATAACAGAAGATTATGAGAAATAGAGCTAAGTTATTTTAAGTTACACACATTGCCAAAGTTTATTTCTCAAGAGAGATATTTTGTAATTCTTTCCCCTTCTTAACTGAGAGAAAGGCATAACCCTAGAAACACACTGTGTTTGAGGCTGTCAGCTTAAACTGTGGAAGAGCTATTTGGCCTCCTGATCTTATGGCAGTATAGTCCCAGGGAGTTTTAGAATCACAGAATTGGGGAGAATCATATTGCACTCTAGGGTAGATACCTATTTCTATTCAGGTTGCCCATTCTTTAAAACAGTGATCATACTTATTAAGTAATGTATGTCTATTAAATAATAGTGTTAAGACTTTTTGCTACATGATAGCAGTACTACATCTTAATTCTAATTTATGATTTTTCTCTTTGTTTTAGATTATATTTGGATTCTGATTATTGTTGCCTTACTACTCTTTCTAGTATTTATCCTAGTATTTGCATATTGTTATTTTAAGAAGAACCCATGCAAGAAGAAAAATATAATGTTACCCAAATCTTTGGTAATGTATTTAAATATTTCGCTTTAGTTATTAATGCTCAAATGTTAACTCTACCTTTTCGACAGTTTCCTCGATTTGTTTGTAAAGTGGGATGATGTTCGCCATCATTCAGTAGAATGATGAGATGTGCTAAGCATCATCGTGTTATATAGAAGCACTGATTACTCAGTCTATCACACATTCAGAACCAGAAGTGTTTTTGTGGTGTACCAAGTGTTTTTTTATACTCAGGATAGAAACACAAGTCTGGTGAGGAGCTTAGAGTGTGATGGGAAGGGAAGATATGTATGTGATGGGTAGGTAGTCAGTAGAGGCTTGTGCACAGCCAGTGATGGCTCTGTCCAGCCCATGGGCTGGGGTCAGCTGAGGCTGTCCCAGAGCCAGCGATGTCTGGGCAGTCCTGAGGGACAGTGGTTTATCCATACTATGGGATAGAATGTACAGAGGCCAAGAGTCTAGAAAGCCTGGTTTTTGAAGATCTGCAAACATGGAAATGCTTTATTATGGTTGGAGTATAGAAGGGAAGATGGCCAAAAGTGAGACACAAGCTTGACATTTGATCGCTAACATTCCACAGCCTTTGAAATGATGAAAAGAACATTTTCAGGTGATATAATGATAACTATTTGAATCAAATATGACAAGAATAACACCCGTGATATTCAAAATAGTTGTAATATCAACTATAAGTAGACCGTTCATATATGAATTATAATAGGCATCCTTGCTAGTCGTTAGGCACAAAGCCACCTTGCAATAGGCCATTTTGCACTCACTAGAGAAGGAACAGTGAACCCGACTGTCCAGCCGTGCCAGTATCAGTGTGAGTGGCGTGCGCTGGTGGAAAGCAGTAGAGCCTTGGAGCAAAGCTAAGTGTGTGTGAGAAGAACAGCGAGGTGTGCCATTACTGTGCCGTGTCCTCTGATACAGTCGTTCTGCTCTTTTATTCTAAGAAAATCATTTCATAAATAAAAAAGATGTGTGAAATATTCAGCACATTCTGTAGCTGAATAAAAATCAGAAACACCAGCATCTATTAAAAAAAAATTGCTATCAATAAGTAATATAGTATAATGACGGAGGCAAATAATGAAACCACTCAATAAGCTAAGCAGCTGTGCTCCCATTACAAATGTAAAGTGTACCGAGGGGGACAGTGTGTACTGTGTTATTAATTTGTAATCTTACAATAGTATTACTATTATGAAAAAGAACAGAAAAAGCCACCGTGATTCAGTTACCTTACCGCAAGTGTGTCAGTGTTCTGTTACCTGTAGACCTTTGTTGGTTTGAAAAGTGGTATTTAAGCTTAGTAATTCACTGTCTTCATTCATTTTCTCTCTTTTTAGCTCTCAGTGGTAAAAAGCGCCACTTCAGAGACAAAACCTGAATCGAAATACGTGACATTCATCACATCGTATCAGCCGATTGCCCCAGAAAACCAGGCGTTGGTCTCTGGAGAGGAGGTGTCCGCAGGGACAGTGCCGGGCGCCAGCACTGAAGGTGGCCGGGGCGGAGAGGAGCACAGCGGAGAGCTGTCCACCCAGACAGAGGCGCTGATGCCGGATGCAAGCGGCTCTGACTGGGCGCTGACAGAGAATTCTTTGCATTCGAATAGTAACCAGTCGGAACCCTGCAGTGTAGTCGTAAGCTCCTATCACTCCCGAAATGGTTCCGACAGCGGCCTCGTGGGTTCAGACAGCTTCGTATCCGACTCTGAAATCCCTCCAAGCAATAAAACCCAAGTAAAGACAGAAGGCCAAGAGCCTGTCATCGTTCTGCAGAGGAGCGCCCCCACCTCCTTTGGTTACGATAAGCCACACGTGCTGGTGGATGTGCTTGTGGGGGACGGTGGTGGCAAAGAGACTTTGGTTGGTTATAGACTTACAACAGATTCCCGAGAATTTTCTTAAGACTGAGATGCAGCATCTTCACAAGGTCTGATTTTCCTCCTTCGATTTTGTGATGAGATCCTGAGCTCAGACATGGTGTCTTAGTTGACATTAACCAAATGGAGTGACATGGGTGGACAGATGCGGAAAGAGCCTGTTGATACTGTCATGTTCTGTCTGAAAACTACAGAGACTCTTTAAAAACAACCTAAACCCGCTGTGGCTTCTGGGCCTTTTAATCCGGGGGGTTAGCTGTAATCATGAATACTCTCCAGTTAGCGCTGCTTCTTCCTGTGATAACGAGATACTTCATTCTCATCGCTCCAAGAGACTAATGGGTTTTTTTGTTTTTTTGTTTTTTGCCTTTCTGCACCTCAGTATATTTCTTTTTGTAAGTGTATATGTATGTATGTTTTTTATTTTTGTTTTGTTAAACATCTGTATTTTGAGACAGGGCCTTCCTGTATTTCCCAGGCTGGCCTTGAACTCCTGGTCTTCCTGCCTCCGCCTCCTCAGTGGCTGGGATTACAGGCATGTGGCACTACACCTGCTGTATATATTTTTAGTGCCTCATTTTGGAAGAAACTGAAAGCTGTTCAAAATTAAATTTAAAACCTAAGTGTATACTAATAGATACAGTATATAAGTAGAAACATATACAGATTTTTTTATGGACTATTATACTTAGTTATTTTGAAATAAAGTACTTTAAAAACTTACTTTGATATTCATGTATTCCAGCACTTTAAATGGTCTTTTAATAGGTAACCAGAATACTTTTATCATTTGTTGCTATGCATTAATGCTGTAGGATTACTTTCTAATTATATCTAAACTTTTAAACAATCTTGAAAATAATCTCTTTAAAAATAGTCCTTTATCGCTACCCTTCAGTATTTAGCATCCAGTGCACAAAACCCTGTTCCAAGCAGATTAGGAAGAAAAGCAAATTTGACTGCAGGGCTGGGGACTAAAATATCTTAGAAGGGCAGGGCCATCCTTGAGTGTGTGGTCCAGAAAGAGCGCTTGGAATCACAAAAGGGATAGAAATACTAAGACTCACATGAGTTAATGGGGCAACACACGGTTAAATACAATTTATGTGAGGAAATTAGCAAATGAATCAGGAAAATATTTCTCCATGGTTATAATAAATGCAGTTAAAATGAGATGGTATTTATTCTGGGGGAGGTGGTAGTTGTAAAATCTCGCAGTTTCAGTAGAATTGTATATTCTTACATGGAGACACTTGTCTTGTGAGTGGCTTTTCAAACTGCTGTACCAGTACATGCCGCATGTGTACTGTATAAAAGTACATATCCTTCGGTAAACTTTAATTGTTCTTGAGGAAAAATTAGTTTACACATAAATTCTTAGGTAGGCATAGTTGTGCACGCCTGTAATCCCAGCCATTTGAGAGGCTGAGGCATGAGGTTCGCAAATTTGAGTCCCACTGGGCAATACAGTGAGACCCTGTCTCAATGTAAAAAATTTAAAAAATCTGAGACTCTATCTCGATGCAAAGGCCCTGGGTTCGATCTCCAGTGCTGCCACCCCACAAAAAAAACTTAAGTGAAAACACATTAGAATGGGAGAAAAGCAAAAATATGAAAATAATTGAAATAGCAAAAGATAAGGTAATAATTACTGACCTCTGAAAAGATTATACCAATATGTACTCCCTCCAAATGTGGAGGAAGGATGATTTTTTATGCACTACCTAATTCTGACCCAGAGGCCAAGTCAGCTGTGAGCTGCTGGCCCAGACTGGCCCTTGGGTAGGAGCTCCACTGACACCTGGGTTGGGATGATGGAGGGACCTGGGGCAGGACAAGGGAGGAACCCTCTGCATTGATTGTTAAGAGGAAACCCATTTGAATGGGTTCAACTCCAAAGTACAGAGATCCTGAAATCAAATGAACTTGCATCCTCTGATTTGTGTGAGCATTTTGAGGGGGATAAAAAAATCACACAGGGGTCGAGAAACAGGTAGGGATCCCTTTGCCAGTAGATAAAGCTCGGAGAAGTGTTTTTAAGGGATTTGAACTCACCTTTCCTCAAAGCCCATGTTTTTCCCACTATGGTTTGTTCTCTCTTTAACTTTCTGTATTAAAAAGAAAAACAGTATTATCTTAGAACAATACAAATATATGTCATGCTTTATTTAACTTTGGCAACATGGAAGCCACATCCAGAAATGACCCCAGGTGCATCTGGAAATGGAATCTAATAAGTTATTTATGATGAGTATGTAATGCTGCACTAAAGTTTTTTAACCACTCTTTTAAAAGGCAAATAGTATTTTCCTTGCTCAGAGGTTCATGAAAATTTTCAATTTTTGTTTAGAAACTGTACATCTTGTTGGATTGATATTTTTTTGGTTTTAGTTTTTCTGTTTTTTGTTTTCCATTATCTTTATCCTTGAATAATCAATTAACTAGCAAATCAAATACTAAATGCTAATCCATCTCTGTCTTCAATTCCCAGAAATCAAAGCAATAAGATGGGATTTCCAAATTGAGCATGGTTGTATAAATCAGCCTTTTATGCTTCTCTGGAAATCATGAAAAGCAACAATGAGAATTAAAAATTAAATAGTTCTGCTTGGAATTCTCTACTTAAAAACCATTGAGTCAGAAAAATCCAAATTGTAGAATTGATAGAGAAAAAATAGTGAAAATGCTATATTTCAGAGCCAATGGGATACATTTCAGAGTAAATTCCTGGCGTAAATACTTACATTGGAATAAAACACATGAAGTAAACACCTGATATAAGTTTTTGTTTAAATTGGAAGGAATCTTAGAAGGTAAAGAGGTAAGAATGATGCATAAATTTTTAAAATTAGAATCTATGAATAATTACAAAACCTGTAAAGATAACTCCTAAAAATAAAACAATAAAACATGGAGAAAATATCATTACTTAAAATAGGAAGCTAAAAGGGAAACGACAGAAATGAGAAACTGAATAAATAATAAAGGACCAGTTTCTCAATTCTATGCAAATAAATGTAAATGCATGACTGAAATGGATGGAGAAAGTACAATTTGCAGAAAGTGAATCTAGATGAGACAGAATACTCTATAAAAAAGCTAATTAGCATAGAAGAGTTAGATCAAGAAAACTGCCAAAGAAATTCTGCCATGCACCTACAAAAGCACTCAAATGATTTCCCAGGGAAATCTCCCTGACCCTTAAGAAACAGGTAATTCCGGATCACACGGATTAATTTGTCCAGCTGAAGAGTTGACTGCAGTGCCACACAACTGCAGAGGCCAGTGTTGCCCATGATGTTGCTTTTTGGTGTCTGCGAGAACCTGGTACCTGGGCCAGAGAATCTCAGCCCCTTCCCTCAAACTCCTACCCCAATCATAAAAAGTGGAGAAGCATTCTGTTCTTTGTGTCAATCCTGTGCATGCATGACAGCTGATGACAGCACATTCCTTTCCACTGATGCACTAGATACTCAGCGTGTCCTGCGTGTCCAGCTCCTCCCTACAGGGGGTTAAAAGCAAGGGATAAATATATGCAAGGTGCCTGATCTGTGGCTTATATTCTAGTGAAAGCCACAGACAGTGGAAGTAAAATTAAACATAGCCTATCAAATGATGGTAAATGTTACAGAGACAATAAAGCAGGAAAGGCAGCCAGCTGGTGGGAAGTAGTGCTGCTATTTAGTCTGGCTACGAGGGATCCACCAATAAGGTAAATTTGAATTGACATGAAGGACGTGAGGAAGGAAGCTGGGCATCTCGGGGAGAGCATTCAAGCAGAAGAACCATGCTGGTGGGGTACAGGCATGGCATATTCAAGAAATGTCCAAAAGGCCACCCAGGCTAGAGTGATACAGGTTAGGAGACGTAAGCGGGTCAGATACACAGGGCCAGTGAGAGACTGTAAAAATTTTGACTTTCATTCTGAATGAAATGGGAAGACATGAGATGGTTCTGAGAAAATGATCAATTTCACATTTAAAAGGAACGTTCTACCTGTTGGGAGGGCCAGTGGCAGAGGCAGGGAGACCAGTCAGGAGACTGTGGCCACAACCCAGGAGAGAGATCACAGTAGCTAAGGCCCAAGTGGTTGCAATGGAGGAAGTGGCAACTGGTCAGACTCTGGTTCTTCTCTGAAGATTTCCCTAGGGTCACAATACACATGATTAGGCTTGTGCGTGGGCCTCGTGATTGATGATATTCAGTAGAGTTTTCAGGGTCAGTGAAGGACCTAGGTCAGGAATAAAGTCCATACTCTCTTTCATTGAAAAAAAAATATGAGCAAAGATAAAAAAAAATCTTAGTTAACTTAGTAAAGCTCTAAGTCTTGCAAATGGACATTTCTAAATACAAGTCAAATATCCCTTTTCTGAAGTGCTTGGGGAACAGAAGTGCTTCAGATTTTGGAATATTAGCATGTACATAATGAGATATCTTTGGGCTAGGACCGAGTCTAAACATGAAATCCATTATGTTTCACATATACCTTACACACATGGCCTAAAGTTGTAATTTTATTACAGTATTTTTAGTGCACCTGCATCCTGATTGTGACCCGTCACATGATGTTGGGTGTGGGAATTTCTACTTGTGGTATCATGTCTGTGCTAAAAAAAAGTTTCAGATTGTGGAACATTTTGTATTTCACATTTTTGGATCATGGATACTCCATCTAATAGTGTTCATGGCCCACACATTTATCAAAATTAAAAGTAGAAAAGTTATTATGCTTGTTATTATGTTTGAATAACAAAGTTCCTTCTTTTCTGAATTCAAGTCCACAAAACTATTTTGAATTGCAAACCAATTATTTCCCAAATTCAGAACTGCTGAAAGGTCATGGGCCTCCTTTAGGAGAGTAAAGAGGGCCTTGCAAATAAGGGACAAATGGTGTCCCAGTTGTTGGGACTACAGGTACATGGTTTTCTGTAGGTCTGGTGTTCAAGTTATATTCAAGATGAAATGTGTAGAGATGCCCGGTGGCTCTCTAAATCATAGAAGGAGAGAAAGGGTCTAAGGAAGATAAAAGAAACACAGTAAGTCTGACCCCATTGGAGGAAGACCATCAAAGACACCCTGAACACCAGTTTTTAAACGCTTTTCTGAAGGAGAACAAGGAATATGTGACCTTTAGACTGAAGAAAATGAAGCCAGCTCCATGAAAGCTGGCTCTGCCGTCTTGTTCATTCCTGCCTCCCTGGTGCCTAGAATAGTGTCTGGTATCCAGCAGATTCTCCATAAGCTTCTCTTGGAGTGAGTGAATAATTAGATCTCTACTTAGTGAATGATTAGAAAGACAAGTCTTCTTTGACATCATTCTATCCCCTTCCAAAGTGAATATCACAAGTGAAGAACAGCACAATACATAGTGATTTTCTAATACTCCTCAGGCCTGAGGTGAACCATCTCTGATTTCACCCCTCACTTTGGGTGTTTTCTCCAGAGCCTCAGTAAGGTTCTCTTATTCTGTGTTTCAGTTTTTCATCCATGATATCAGGATAATAATACCAACCTCCCAGGCTTGTTGGGAGGATGAACTAAACCGATGCATGAAAAGAACTCAGTACAGTGCTCCATAATCATGACATCTCCTTATGGCTCCCAAAATGTCACTAAAATTACAAAAAGGGGTTTTATTAAGATCACATCTTGTAGGGGCCAGGGATATACCTCAGTGGTTCAGGCACTTGCCTCGCAAGCACAAGGTCCCAAGTTCGATCCCTGGTACCAAAAAAAAGAAAAAGAAAAAGATCACACCTTGTAAATAAACCTTTAAAAGATTTTCTTTGTTATGAAAAGTCATATACAAAAGTAAAAAATATTGTGGACCTCCATGTACATAATTCTTGGTTTTAATAATTATCGGGTTGTAACCATTCCTTAGCTCCTGGATATTTTGAAACAAAGGGTAGACATTATACAGTTTCATCTGTAATACTCCAATGTGTATCTGTAAAAGAATAGAAAGAATAACCAAATAGCAGAAAGAGGACTGTATACCCAACCTGGATGAATTCATGGTCTGCTGGAAGCCACAAAGACAAAGGATGAAAAGTATCAACTGTCCAAGGCCAGGACTGGGCCAAGTTCTATCCAGACCCAACACAATGGAGGCATCCACTGTCACAGTCCTCCTGTGGGGTGGGGCTGAGGGAGGGCAGGGAGAAGGCAGCTATTCTAAGCCAGCATTTAATACCAGCAGTAAGGCAGAGTACAGGTCCCCCATTAGCTATAATTTTCTTCCACGCCAAATGACATTTCATTGGAAAGAGTTCTGTACAAATATAAATATCTCTGCTTTGAAATGAGTAGGAAAATAGACTCTAATCTTACCTTTTCATCTACTTTGCGGTATCACTGGCAATGTTGACTTTTACACATGTTATGATAGTACACAATTAGAGAACATTGAATACTGACAGGACTGGTTTGGCTTCTAAAATTTAACATAGCAAGAGAGCTCTCATCTTTGGGAGAACTCAGTTCTTACAGATTCTGTACTCTTCCTCCTTTCTCCTCATTTCCTCTTATTCTACAAAGTCCGTAACTCAGCAGAAACTCCCATTTCATGTTTTGCTGCTCTACATATAACACCTTGAGTTAAATTATTTTCCTGTTCTTTTTAACTGGAATTGAAAACAGTTTGACTGCTTTAAAATAGGATCCATTGCTGTCAGTGATGTTGAACATCGATGTTCCAAACCCAGGTTATAGCACACACATGCACATTTAAAAAGCAGGATCAATGCTCTGTCTAAAAACCATCAGTGAGTTAAGGGTGATGCTAGGAAGACTGGAAGACAGGATGCACCAAGGAGGTGAAAAGGGGAGCTAAGACTTGCTGCGTACTTCTTCTTTGAAAGCCCAAATTACCTTATAAGCAATAACAGCTTCCCTTGGAGAGATATGAGTCTGGATGCAGAGGTCAGATGCAGTGTGGAGGTGCTGGAAAACCTGGTATTATCTTCACAAACCTTCTGTACACCTTTCACTTCAGAAAGTATGCAAGTGTCCTGGAATAACTCTGGAATTCATTATGTGGTAAGGGTAGTCTTGGTCATGGTCTCCAAAGGAAGTCCTGACAGGCTCTGTTCCAAGATCACTTGGTCAGAGGTGAGGCCTTCCGGGAGTGGCACCAGCTCCACACAAGGCCTCGAGGTTCCAGCATTGCTTTCTACAGATGCTGAGTCCTGCAGTGGGGTGGTGACCTTGAGAGAACGGCTTCCCTTTGCTCCCTTCTTCCCGAAGAAGGCCGTCCTTCCCCCCATCTGTGAGGACTCCTGCCCCGAAGCACTGCTCACCCTGTCTGTTAGTGAATCTCCCGCAGCTCCAGTCCTGCCTAATCTTTATGGTGGAGGATGGAGGAGCAGGTGGCTTTGCAACCACCTTCTGAAACTCTTTGTCTCCCATAAGAAGGGGAAGAAAGAGATGACTAAAAGTCACAACCCTGCCTTTGCTCATTATTGCCTCCATCCTTGCCTTCTAGAAGGATCAAGAAGCTACAATGCTTAGCTTATGGTGGTGCAGCAAATACTTGCTAAATGTGAATGAATGAATGAATGAATGCTGCTCAGCAGCCATCACTATTCCTCACTAAGGGGCCGATTCTACTAAGAACGTGACAAGGCTAATTGCACAAGAATAAAATAACACCAAGGTGTATTTCCTCTTTTGACCTTAAGATTCTCTCTCATTAACAACAAAAAAATTGTTTTATGACTTTATTGTGCTTCAGTGTATAATTTTAGTGCCTCTAAAACCATGTGGAAAAGAACATTGTAAAACAATATGATGAATCATGGGCAAAGAACAGATGACCTACTTTGATCAGATTTAAAGGAGATATGAAAAAGATCTAACATAGCCCAAAATGATTGTCCTTCACACCCACATTTTAATGTTGGCATTGGGGATGTAGCTCAGGGACACCACACCTGCCTGGCAAGTGCAAGGTCCTGAGTTTGATCCCCAGTACAAAAAACAAAACAAACAAACAACCCCCCCCCACATTTTAATGCATGGTTTGTTTTTTTAGGCTCAATTATCTTTTAGAGAGAGGGATTAGTTGAGTGGGGCCCGAGTCCATGACAGAGAGGGGAAAACCAAAGACTGAGGCAGGAAGTGCCGCCATGGAGGGAAGAAGGGGTGAGAGAGTCTGAGGCACACCAGGGAGGTTCAGTGGGGGCCACCCAAGAAGGGGCAAGAAAGAGTAGATGAGAAGCTCCATCCTTTTTTTAAACAATGGCCAGTGTCCCTGGCACTGTAGCTACCAAGCACAGTACTCAAAATCAGCCTGGTACTGGTGTCCCTCATGTAAGGCCAAGTGAGTTGTTTTGTCACTGTTCTGGGTTCAAGGAGGTCCCCCCAAAGAGGAGACAGGGAACCTCAACTCACTGGGGAAGAGGGTCTTAACTCACTGTCACGGAAAAGCATCTCAGCATCTCATCAGTGAAAGACACAGAGAGTTTATTAGGAAGAAAGAGAAAACGCACTCAGAAAAAGTACAGGCTTTTGAGAAAGGAGGTCCACTATGGTTTTGTGTTAGGGGTGTTTATGTGGTCTTGGGGTATCTAGACCTGGGATGCTTATTTCTTTGAGCTCTTTATCATTTACCTGGTGTCTGTTTCCTTAATGTCAGGTTACTCACTAGTGGGCTAAAGCAAAAACTGGCTTTATCAACTAAAGGTTAAAATGCAAACCATTGGGGCATGTTTGATGTTTGGAGACATGGTACCCAATTCACAGCACCATTTCATTGAGAGTGGCAGTTTTGGGAGTTTATGGGAGTGTAGTATCGGTAAAAAAATACAAGCCAAATTTATAGACATTTCATCTCTAAGATTCAGGGCTTTAGAAGTGAGAAGACAGAAAGAAAAACAGGTCTGAGGTGAAAAGGGCAATGTAATCTTGGGTAACTTTGTGACTTGACGCTGCAGTTTTGTTAAAATTGCAATTTTAAAATTACACTCTCCTTGTCTCCCTTCTACTTGTCTATTTCTCCCAGCCTGTCTCGGTTTCACTCACTCACCTTGGTGCTATTTCCATAGTGTGTGCCCTACCCTGCCCTCGGGTCTGCTAGCCCGGCTCCAAAGACAGCAAGCTTTCCATAAACACAGGACTTACAACAACTCTTTTTTTTTTCAAGTGATTCTTATACTTTTATAAAAAAGACAAAATAATGCAGCAAAATAAAATTGTAGTTGCTTCAAGGAAACATTTGCCATTAGTTAAGCAAAGAGTGGTCAGCTTGAATATTTTATTTCTTTGTTTTTCACTATGTGCCTAGTTTTATTTATGAACCATCCATTTATAAGAGGAAAGTCTTTTCAGTCCTTCAAACAGTACTAGACCACTACTGTACATCTTTTGAATGAACTTTTCTAGTGTAAAAATTTAAAATTCTGAGATAGAGAACTGCATTAATGAAAACAAAACAACTTCTACTCAGATGCTCAATCAAACCAAGCAAAACTTTGGTTCCTTTAAGCTATTCTTATTTTAACAATTCTAAATCAGTGCCAACCCATACAAAGAACAGGTCGTAACTGACAAGCAGTAGAAGAAAAATAATTTACTCAACTTACTAAGTTTCAACACCAAAAATAATTGAACTTGGCTGAAAGTTCTAAAACAGCTGAGACATCAAACCAGGAAGTTATGATTTATACTGAAATGTTAATACATCCTTAAAAGCTATTATAGCTATACTAAAATAAGACTTCTTCAAGGCTAACTTCCCCTGTAATTCAAGAATACGAGCATAACAATATTATACTTTTTATATGCACCAATACCTCTCTTTAATATATAAAGCCCTGTATGACAAATACCTCTAATAATTTTATAATTTTACAATTAAATTAGAATAAGTCTGTAATTCTTCTATACTACTTGGGTCTCAGTCATCTTAAAAACATCAATTAATTTTGAAAATACACCATTTAACCACAGGATCCTATAAATAACAAGCACATTTTGTAGTGAACTAAACACACATTCAATATGCAATCCAGTGTTCAAGTGTTCAGTACCTAACTGATAAATACCAATGCTGACCTTGCATGTTATATAGCTCCCTCCTCTGGGCCGAGCTGTCTTATTGAAAGGAGCACCAGTTGCCTGGCCAGTTGCTCTTGGGACCGTGATGCCTAAGCATTGCTTTCTAGGCTTCCTCCTCAGCCTTTTCCTGACTGGTGGAGTAGGTAAGTGCCTTGCTTCTTTTTAATGACCACAGCTTTGTCTTGGAGTCTGATCAAGAGACTGTTAGAAATGGCATTGATATTTTCTATGGGCTTTGTAGTTAAAACTACAGCTTTCTTAGGTCATTGAATGGTAAGACCAAATGGGGTCAGAGACTCTGCCCATAGGAATTATAAGCATGGGCCCCTAAGCCAGACTGTCAGAGTCTAGATTTCAACCCAGCCACTTGCTAAGTAGGAAAACTGGTGCAGTTTCTTGAACAACCTGTGCCTCAATTTCCTTGAATGGAGATTGTAGGTCACTGTGAAGATTCAGTGACTTGCTATATATGCCAAGTGCTGAGAGCAGCGTCTGGCATAGAAGAGGGATGTACACAAGTTGTGAGAATTCGCTGCTGGTGTTTTCAGAGAACACTTCAGGAACAACAGACCTCTGAGCAAAGCCATTGGGTTCCCAAGTCAACAGATGAGTAGCTCTCAGTGGAGAAGGCGTCCATAAATTCCTGTGACCACACAGCTCGCCAGTGACTGGTGCATAAAAGTAATTCCAGCCCCCATCTTCTAGAAATCTGTGAGAACAGGCTACAGCTCTGGTCCTCTGTAACAAGGACTCTCAACAAAATGTGGCAGGATCTTACAGGCCCGTCACCATAGGCTAGAGAAACACCTTCTTTGGGGCTAATTTACAACTTTTCAGCCTCCCCATCAAAATAATGCAGTAATGAAATGACCTACCTTATCTGGTGGTGGTGGAAACTAAATTAAGTTGAAAAGAATGAGCACAGTGCCTGTCATATGTTGAATATTCATATTTGTTCAATGTTCAATGAATCCAAGCCAGAAGAGGGAGGAGGAGGGGAGAAGGAGGAGGAGAAAGGATATTCTTAGCTTCTAATAGCTCTGCCTCTTCCATTCGCTCCTCTCTCCTGAGTCTTTGCTCTTGGTTTTCTGCAGTAAGAGGCAGCTCTGGCATCAGACAGCCTTGGTTTAGAAAAACAGCTTCACCATTTGGTCCTGGGCAAGTTCCTTCACCTCTCCATAGCGTAAGGTTTCAGTCTGTAGGAGGAAGCTGCTGTCGCACCTTTCTCACAGAAGAGCTGAGCAAATCCAGTAAGTGAGTAAGATAAAAGTCCCTTGGTGCCTGGCACAGAGCGCGTTGGAGGTAGTAGCAATGGTGCTACAAAGACAAGAAATCCAAAGACAGAGAGATAAAGGGCCTGCAGACGTCTGTTTTCAGGTTAGCAAATCAGCTTTAGGAAGGTCTTCAGGAAATTGTGCCTATCATCTCCCGAGAACCTTGGAAATTTTTATGTCCTAAATGTAATTAATTGAGTAGTGATGGAGGGGGCAAAATCAACTGTGACAATAGGTTCTTCCCAACTTTACATTGCTCTTTGGTACACTAAATACAAATAAAAACAAATCCGTCGGGGTTCGATCCCCGGTACCAAAACAAAAAAACCCAAAAACAAATCCGTGACAAATAACAACGTTAACACAGTTTGATAGGTAAGGATAGATACCCGAGGAAGCAGCCCCAGTCATTAAAAATTAATTAACTGAGAGTTGCTAGATCTTCAGTCTGGAAGTATTTTCTTTCCCTCAGTTAAGTAATATTTGAGCAAACATGTAAAGAGTTAGAGAAATGGCACATGTACAGACCCAGGGGAAGAAATCCAGGGGCAGAGCAGCTCAGGAAAAGGGCAGGGGTAACTCAGAGCCCCTAAGGTCGGGTCACTGCCGGCACCGGGAAGCAAGAAAAGGAGATCACTCTGGAGGAGAGAGGTGCACGGTGACAGAAGATAAGGTCAGGGAGAAAACAGAGGTGCTTTCTGTTTGCTGCTTCTCTGGCCCAATCTTTCTTTCCTTATCAAAATCTTTGGACCCTAAAATAAAATCTTGTCGTAAGTCTCCTGGTGGCATAAGAGTCAACACAGGTGAGACTGGGGCACTGTGCCACGTGATTTGTCACATGATTTCAAATTACATGATTTGAAGCACAACCTTCCCTCTGCTGCCACGATTGCTACCCAGAACTCTGGGCCCCAGTGAGGCCTTGGACAGTGGCCACATTACTGTGGGCCAATTCATCTGAGCAATCCTGCGTGGGTCCTCGGAGCCAGAGGGCAGGCAGGTGAGGACCGCCATTCAGGAGGGGACAACAAAGACTGAACTACCTGAAGGCCAAACCGGAGAGTGATTGAAAACCAGAGAATGAAGGAACTGAGTGTTGGGCTCAGGTCCTGGGGCCAAATTAATCCCAGTCAAATTTTCCCTTGGACTAACAAAAGTCTCCTAGGGAGGAGGACAGGTGACCTTCGTGTGGGTCTTTCATCTTAATCATATATCCCGTCACTATCTGGGAAAGAACTAAGGACAATATTCTTTCAATAAGATCTATTTCCTTGGGGAGTGGGGTGGGAGGATATCACATGTGTTTTTTATAGTCTGGAACTCATCATTCTAAAACTTCACCCTGGGCTGGAGCTTAGCTCCATGGTACGGCACTTGCCTAGCATGCACAGGGCCCTGTTCCACCCTCAGCACCACAAAAAAAATAAATAAATAAAAAAGAATGAAACTTTAATGTGCATGAAAATCATCATATTGAAGAGCCAAAAATGTTTGATTTCTGGGCTCCCTTTCTACTACCTACAATTAGAGCAAGTGCTTCAAGAAATCCTGATGCTGGTATTACAGTTTAGACTGCTGCCAATAACCATGTTTCTCATCTTCATGTTCTGTGTTTTTCCTTCTCATTATTTTAGGAACTCAGCCAGCTCATGACTCTCTGAAGCCTCAGAGGGTACGATTTCAGTCTCGAAACTTCTATAATGTTTTGCTCTGGGAGCCTGGGTGGGCTCTCACCAGCAATCAGAGCATCTATTTTGTGCAGTACAAAATGTAAGTAAATTGAGCATCCTCCAAGTGACAGAAAAGACCACAGAGATGACACATTCTGGAGCATGATGAAGTCTTAATAGCTGAGATCTTTTCAGAGGAGTTTTAGATGGGGTGAGAAGAAACAGAGACAGACATAAGTGACTTGTTGTCCCAAAAAGCTGCTTGGGGACCTGAAACACTTGAGGATGCAGTCTTTAGATCAAACACTTGAGTATTAGGAAAGTACTGAGAACTTTGGCTCCCCTACAGCACCTGGCTCTTGATGAGCCCTCAGTACACATTTGTCAAAGGAATGCTGGAAGTGCCTTGTTCTACACATAGCGAGTACTATTAACAGCTGCAGTGAACTTGCAGCAGCACTGAGTGTGTAAAACGCATTTCTAATCTAACAATCATATTTTAGAATGGCGTTACTGCTAATGAAATTCTTTTCAAACATTAGCAGCACTGGTAAGCATGAACACACACTGGGATGTGTTGCCACACGCTCCTCTTGTGGGAGCCTCATACTTTCCCTGCAGGACCAGTGCCAATATTCAGCTCTCATTGACGCTTCCTGGTCAAGACTTGGAAATACACACTGTGGATTGGAAAATGGTGGCCTTTTCTGTATTACATTCCCTGAGTTTTTAGAGGCTCTGCCTTCCCTGACATAGTTTGAGATGTTGGCTGAGCACAAGACAGGAAGTATTACAGCTTAGTTTTCATGCATTTTTGTTAGAAATCCAGAAAATTAGAGATATGCATGAGGCAAAGTAGCAATTTTTTACTCTATGCCCCTCCAGCATGGGATAGACCTTAGTTCAGATTGCCCTAATTAATATGAGAGGGAATATCCCTAGAAGTTTCTTAGCCTTTAATTGTTCCTGCTTTTCTCTACACATTTTGCTTAGCAAATGTAAAACTCCCAGATCTTTCCAATGATGGATTCTTCATTTAAAAAATAGATTTGTGCATAGCTAGAGATCCCTCAGTAGAGAAGTAGTATCAGTACTCTTCATATGTCCCCTCAGGCAGCCTAATGGGTCCACAGTGTATCTATTTGTGGGTAAAGTAATGAGGGAATTAGAAGCTGTTTTACCATGAAGATGAAGATTAAACTTCAGGACCCCATGGAAGATTTTTAAATTTATAATTCTTTTTCTTTGAAAGGGCTCCCAAAGGCTGTATAAATTTCGGATCTCAGGATACCTGGAGTGATTGCTATCTCTATGGTATTTTCAGTTCCAAATGCAGATCTATCATTTTGAAAACTTTCACTTTGGTTATATCTGGTTCCTGTCAGTCTACAGTTAGCAGGTTGCATAGGAAGAAAACCTCAGGTATCATATTATAAGACAACCCAGTCATTACAGTTAAGTTCAGCTAACAAAGGCAAGGTCTCATCAATAATTGAAAGTCATCAAATTGTGCCCTACGTATGCTATTGGTTCTGTTTTAATCCTGATATAAAGGAACTGCTGCCATTATATAGATTACAGAGAATTGAGACCAGATGTAGTCCTCATTGCACGGGTCTAAGATTAGACTGCAAGTCCTTTAACAAAGGAGAAGCCCTGCTCCCCAGCCTCGACTTCCTGTTCTGCTCTCTACTCTCACCTTACTGATTTTGCTCTGATTTGCAACTGAAAAGGAAGTAAAATCTTAGTCTTCTCTTTAGCTGCTACACCATCCTCCAGCCTCAGCGTCAACCTGTCTGTCTCATTGCCTCATTACCTTTTGCACAACTTTATCCCCCTCTCACCCAGCCCCTGATCATAGAGCTCTCTGTGGAGCCCTCACCACAACTTCTGCTTAATTTTCAATAAAAAGATGAGTCATGTGTGTTCAGTAAGCATCACCTAGGATGACAAATGGTAGCAACTTCTCGGGATCTGACATATTGCTCAATAGGAAGCCCATGAGAAGTGCAGGAAAACCACAGAGTTGAAATGTCAGAAGCATTAAGGATGTAGAGAATGAGTATATAAAAATGGAAGTTGGTTCGTGTACCAGAAGAATCACTTTGACAAGTAGAAACAAAATAAAAAGCCTTACATTAGTGATCCAGAAAGTGCCAAGGTCGAATTTATCTTTCAGTTTGCCAGCACTTTGGTTACCGAGACAGAAAACTTCAAAATTTTCAAATATTGAAGACTGCAATAAATGGTACTGATATTACAGGGCAGATTTCAACCTGTCTAAAGAATGAACTCACTGAAAAAGCTTAAAACTCCTTTGATGGAGAAAAGAAACAGATGTTTGTATTTTTCCTTTCTTTAGGTATGGTGAGAGAGACTGGAAAAGTAAGAAGGAATGTTGGGGTACTCAGGAACTCTTTTGTGACCTTACAAACGAAACCTCAGACCTGCAGGAGCTTTACTATGGGAGGGTGCAGACGGCCTCGGCAGGGGTTTACTCTGGATGGAGCATGACACCACGCTTCATTCCCTGGTGGGAAAGTGAGTTCCATGAGGTTCTTTTCTCTTCCTCCCTTTGAGCTGCCTCACAGAGCACAGCCAAGGACCATGCCCTGGCCTTGTTGGTTTTAAAAATGTTTTGCTGAGATATAAATCACGCTTCTTATAATTTACTCATACAACATATAAAATTCAACGGTTTTAATGTGTGCACGTATACATTTAAACATCCTCCACAGTCAACTTGAGAACATTCTTATCACCTCAGAAGGAAACTCCATGCCCTGTGGCTATCACCTTCCTCTCCCCTGACTACCCCAACAAGCCCAGATCTGCTTCTTATCCCTGTTCTAGGTGGAATCATAGTATGTGGTCTTTTGGGACTGGTTTCTTCCTCTTAGCCCAATGTTTTAAAGGTTTATCCATGGTTGTAGCACATATCAATACTTCATTCTCTTACATGCTCAAATAATACTCCATTATGTGGGTTTTCTACCCATCAAGTAAGAATAGCTCAAGATTTTGGGTGAGATGAAGGGAAGCTTTGACTCAATCCTATTAAAATTGGGACAGTGTTAAGAAGAGTTTAGCATGTTTTTATATCACCATCCCCTCTAAAAAAAAGAAAAAGCCTTACGCAGTGTTCTATAAAAAGACTTTTTATTCCAGGGCCTCATAGGTAGGAGACTTAGACATGCAGTTCATAAACCAGTTGAAAATGGAGCTCCTGCCATAGAAGCAATAGTGAGGATCCCTGCTCACTCAGCCATCCCAGCACCCTCCAGCTGAGTATCCTCCTGCAACAACTCTGGAGGCTTTTTTTGAAAAGTATATAAATAACAAAAAGTGTTAAGTCGGAAGCAGAATTTGATCCTCTGTAATTTCAATATTATCTGAACCTAGACCTTCTTGGATTAAATATACATATGGATTTTTAGAATAGGACTGATATTCTAATGGAGTGGGCTACAGTCAGATTAAAGAATCACCCTGCCTCTTTATTCATTCAGCAATTATTTATAAGATACTTACTCTGTTCCAGGCATTTTATGAGGTCCTAGAGGAAATATGGCAAACACAGAAGACAACTCTTCTTTCCTTGAGCTTTCTGTTTAATAGGGAAGACAGCTATCAATAAAAGAATCACACATGCATGAAACAATACTTGTGACAGGTGGTACAAAAGAGAGTTGCACAGTGCTATGAGATCCTGGCCAAGTAGGAAGCTGGATAACGTTGTCAGGACAAGCATCCCTGTGGAAGTGACACTTGAGCTGATAGCTATAGCTAAAAGGGGTTAATTGGACAGACGGTAGAGCAGAGCATTCCAGGCAAAGACTCACTGGTAGGAGAGAGTGTGATAATCCAAGGAGCTAGAAGACAGCTGGTATGAAATACGGCATTCGAGGAGGGAGGATGAAATGAGGTGAGACTGGAAGGTAGGCTAGGATGAGAATTTTCTGTCCAGGAGTTAGGACTTCCCCTAGGAAAAAAATATAAGTAATTTCAGGAAGGTAGGCAGTTATGGGAATGGAAGCCTGAGTGCTATTCATGCTAGGCAAGAAGTCCACCACTGAGTTATACCTTAGCCCCCCAAAATGTAATTTGAATTGGGGGACCCTATGATCAGACTTACGCACTGAAAAGATCATTGTGGGTATATTTGGGGAGACAGATTGATTATAGGCATATGAGGTTACTGTAATAGTCTACAGAATACAGATTAGCTTGAGTTAGGAAAATGAAAAGGGCTATAGAAAGTTTACTATTGTAGGGATATTTCATAGGAAAAATGGCAGGACTCGGTAATAGGCTAGATATAGAGGTAAGGGAGAACGTGTCTAAGATGATCTCTAAATGTTTTTCTTGAATAATTACATAAATTAGTGAGATGCTTTTGATGGCATTTCACAGAAAAAGACCAGTTTGGTGGAAAACAAGGTAATCAAGATTGCGAGTTTAGTATTGAACGGGTTGTATTTTGAGAAGCAGAGCATGGTGGCACATGCCTGTAATCCCAGCACTCAGGAGGCTGACACAGGGGGTTGCCACAAATTTAAGACCAGCCTGGACTACTTGGTGAGTTCAAAGCCATATGGAGACCCTATCTCAAAATTAATCAATCAAAACCTAAAAGATGTGAATTTATAATCTGAAAATTACAATGAATACCAAACAATAAAACAGTGAGATAATCTATACTTAGCAATATTACAGTAAATCTGGGGACAATTTGAGTTTCATACTTAATAATGATCTGATTATTGGAAACAAAATGCATGAACCAGAATTCTCTCATTTTGTAATGATTTAGCATGATGAGTAGTGAGTCCATGTGTCATATTTCAGTTTTTGGATGGTTTGGCAAAATTTCCTATTCTTTTTACAGCGAAAATAGAGCCTCCAGTCATAAATATAACCAGAGTTAATGGATTGTTGTCGGTGGTTTTCCATACTCCAAATCCACCATATAGAGACCAAAAAGGAAAACTATATCAATGGAAAATTACTATGACCTAGAATACCGAGTTTTTATAATTAAAAATTCACTAAAAATGGTAAGTTCAGATGAATAGATAGGTATTTTTTCATTTTGTTGAATGTTAAATAACATTTTAATCATATTGTATATCCTCTTTTCTGCTACTCTGTCTCCTCTTATTTTCCTCCCATCTTGTTTTGTTCTTCTTTACTTTCACCCTCAGTGATAAACAATGGTGGTTGGATCACCATCTAAGCTTATGTGTGCATATGTGTATGTGTCTGCTATGTATGTCGATGTGCACATGTGTGTGTTTTTCCATCACTCGACTTGCTTCCATCTGGTCTTCCCTGCATATCTAGAAATTGGCAATAACAATATTCCATCTCATTGGACTGCCATGAACATTCATTTTTTATAGGTTTTACACCATACATTTATTTATGCTTATTTATGCTTATTTAGCTTAGTAGCTTTTGAATCACAGCACTATGTGTTTCTATCAATTTTGCGATGTTAATTTGTAATTAGAAAATCCACCACCAGTGCCTTTGTCTGGGTCTGGTGGTGACCTGACTGTTCCTTTTCTGGTATCCATCTTAGACAGGTTCCTTTGGTTGTAAGGAAGAGAAACCCATTCAAATTCCTTCAAATTCAAACAAGAAGAGGGGAAAGTTTCATTAGGAGCTAACAAGCAACTCTATGGATACCCAGAAACAGGAACAAGTGCTGCCTGGCTTTATAAGGACCAGACAGGGGAGCAGGGAAATGAGTTTTCTGGGATGCTGCTCTGTCTCTCTGACTTTCCGTGTCTCTGTGGCCACACGTTGCACGTCTACGTTTATCTCTGAAAGTCTGCTCATTCTCCTCATTGCATGGTGCCAGTTCTTGAAAAACAGACACTGACCACTGGGTCAGTCGTTCCACACCGCTCAGGGCAAAGCCAGGTTGCACCTACTGGGCCCCTTACCTGTCCCTTTACTGGGTGTGGCCCAGGAGCGGGGAGGAAGATGTGTTTGGAAAGGAACCTCACCACCCATGCACTGCAGTGACCTGGCATAACTTTCTGATTTTAACAAAAATTGAGCAAATCAGTGACTTTCTAGAAACATCTGATTTTTTTTCTCTTGTGTGCAGGAACAACAAGTCTATGAAGGGCCTCACAGAGTTGTTGAAATTGAAGGTCTCATACCTCGCTCTGGTGCCTGCATAGTAGCTGAACTATACATACCCAGGTTTGACAGAGGAAGCCCAAGAAGTGCAAAGAGATGTGTGGGGGCTGCATAAACTGGAACAAAGTGCTCTGAAGGACGGAAACCAAAGTTCTCCAGGAAGGGAACGGCTTGTGTTGGAGCCTCTTATTGAAAGTCATTTTTCTATTTTCTTAAAGCAATGTTCACCATTACATTTCAGGGACTTCTTTGCTTCTCCATTCTTTCTTTTTTTTTAAGTAACATGCCTGCTGATCTTTTGTTTATTAGTATGTGTTTGCAGTACATAATGTTATCATTCCTTTTGTGGAGTTGGTACTTGTGTATAACACATCTTCATCCCTTTTTCACACCCTTCCCTTCCCCACATCCTCTATCTCTTAGTTCCCTTCCCATTTGAGAAAGGTCTTTCTCCCTACTTCCTATTATCAATCTTTTATTTTACTCTTTATATTTTGGGTTTCTCATATAAGAGAAAACATGCAATATTTAAACTTGTGTGTCTGATTTATCTCACTTAACAATATGGTCTCAAAATGCACCCAATTTCCTACAAATGACTCAAGTTTATCTTTCTTTATGGCAGAGTAGTACTCCATTGTGTGTAAGTACTCCACATTTTCTTTACCCATTTATCTGTTGATGGATAAATATGCTGCTTCGAAGATTTAACTATTATGAACTGTGCTGCTATAAACATGACTACACATCTATCACTGTACTATGATGTCATTCTTTATATTTCACTTGTAAACTAAATTTGAGCAATGCTCCTCAAAATTAGAATTTTAAGAAGAGCCAAAGAATAAAGGGCTCTGTGAGATAAAGAACTTAATTTCTGAATGTAATATCCTTAACAATAATATTCATTTTTGTAGAACAGCAAAATAAAAATTAAGAACCCAAAACTAATAGACATTTAACAAAATGTTAAAATGATTTTTAGAAAATATTGTTACATTAATATATACATACTCATGTTTATAGCAAGGGATGAAACAACATAAATGTTATGTACACATATCAACACCCCACAAAGAATGTAAGCATTGTGTACTGTAAACATATGCTAATAAAAACTGGAAAAAAATAAATAAAATACAGACAAAAAACTAATGTTACAGACTGAGAGACTAGTAAAGCAATTATTTTTCACTCTATTCAGCTGTTAATTTGACATAGTTATGCTAATTTAAAATTCTCCTATGAATGAATATTTTTCTGTGCATTTCTAATTTACATAAACATACTTTTTTTACATCTACTACCTATTATAAAATATTTCTACTTAAAATTTTGTTTTAAATTCTACCTTATATAAATAAGAACAGTATTTATAAAAAGCTTTTCATTATCTCTAGATTAATATATAAATTAAAATGATCAAGAATAACATATAAATATCAAACAAAGTCTACTCAATATAATTTCCCTTCATTTTGCACCTATCACATGAAGATTATCTTTTCCGTTTTTGCTTTTAACATCACCTTATATGAATTTATCTTTATTCTCAAAATGAGGCATAATATTTTTCAGCAATAGAGAGAAAAAGAGACCTTAACTTCAAGCCGATATCACACTAGTAATTCAACCCTCCTAGTAAAGGGCCTCTTGCTGGTAGCACCTTCATAATGCTTATGTAGGAAGATCACATAAATGACAGCTTGACTGGGGACAGAACTTGACTCAAATCTGAAGGCAGTCACTGAGTGATAGGTTTGTTGGGAAAGGACCTGGTGGGAGCAGGTGTTTTCAGAGATTATAAGGCTAATCAAACCCTCTGAACCTTCTCTGCTTCTCCTGAGTCAAGATCGGTGGCATGAGGCTCAGTGTAGCCAACAGAAAGCTGCCTTCCTCATTCTGGGCTAAGTCCCAATATGTGCTTAAGGTTGTATGTCTTACCAGGAGTTGTATATCAGAAAATTTTTACAAGTCTTTAGGAGAAGTGTGATTTAAAAGAATAATTGGTGCTTCTGGTTATATACAAGTACTCACAACAATAAACAGATTAAAAATTACTCAGAAATGCACTAGTGGGGAGTGAAGAAAAGAGCAAGAGGAGTCATTGGATGACCCTCTTGTCCTTTGGGGGAATGCTGGAAGTCAGCCCATCTGTCCCAGTAGCTCAGTATTCCCATGAGAGACAGATGATAAGCAAATAAGTATATAGTAAAACTTTGACAGAGAGGAGCAGCGCTGACCCCAGCACAGAGAAGATGAACCTTCTGGGCTGCAGTACCACCACCCCAAGCACCCAGGTGGTGAGACAGGCAGGCGCCAACAACACACATCCTCCAACACCCCCCGCTCCCCACCTTGAAATGAGAAGACACATAAACAAGCCTCAAAACCAGACCTCCAGATCACCTAAAGCAACCTCAAAGGGAAACAAGATGGAACAATTTGATACTCAATGACCTGGACTCCCTGAACTGGCAATGAAAGAGGATTTGGAAAAAATAAAATCAAAAATAATTTCTCAAATATCAGCAGAGATTGTGTCCACAGTGCAAGACATGATTAATAAATCTAGAGAGGATACAGATAAAAAATAGAGAAGCTGAGGAACATGATGGAATCCCAACATAGAAAACAAATGAAATCCATAAAACAGATACAAACAGATTTCCAGGAGATTAAAAACTCCACTGAAATTTTACGCAGCAGAATGAGCCAATGTGAGGACAGAATTTCAGATATAAAAGATAAGATTGCAATTAGAGACCAGGAAAAGAAAAATTGCTTCAAAATTGTAAGGGACCATAAGAAATCAATCCAGTAGCTGCTAGACGATGCAGAGAAGAATAACATAAGACTGATTGGAGTCAATGAAGAAACAGGAGAGAGTGCAGATGACATAAAAATACTAGTCACAGAAGTGATGGCAGAAAACTTCCCAAGCAGGGAAAAAGAATTTGACATACAGATAAGTGAGGCATATAGGACTCCAGCTAGCCTTGATCAAAAAAAAAAAAAATCTACACATAGGCATATAATAGTTAAAATTCCAGAAACCCAACAGCAGAACAAAATTATACAAGCAGTTAGAGAAAAGAAACAAATCACATACAAAGGAAAGCCCATTGAATCACAGCAGACCTCTCAGTGCAAAACCTCAAGGCAAGAAGAACTTGGAGTGATGTATTGCAAGCCCTAAAGGAAAACACCCTCCAACCCAGATTGATGTACCCTGCAAAACTGTCTTTCAAAATTGATGGAGAAATAAAATACTTCCATGACAAACACGAATACCAAAGCAGCACTCCAAAAAATTTTAGACAATATCCTAGGAAAAGCCAATGAGGATCACAACCCCAGGAAGCCCAGAAGTATGAATCCATTGGGCATGACAAGAAATTAAAAGCAAAGGGAGAGAATCCAACAAAAAGAAAAAGTCAGGACAAGCACAAGTCAATATGTATCAGTTATAACCATCAATGTTAACGGTCTCAATTCACCAGTCAAAAGAAATAGACTGGCAGAATGGGTCAAGAACCAAGATCCAACCATATGCTGCATACAAGAAACACACTTAATTCAAAAGGAAACTCATACACTGAAAATTAAAGAGTGGAAAATGATACTCCATGCGACAGGAACCCGAAAAAAAAGCAGGACTAGCTATCCTCTTTGCAGATCAAGTGGATTTCAAACCAATACTGATTAAGAGAGACAAAGAAGTACATTATATCCTTGTAAAGGGAACAATCCAAGAGGAAGAAATGACAATCATAAACATATATGCACCAAACACTGGTGAACCCAACTATATTAAACAAATACTAACGGACATGAAAAATCAAACAAGCACTAATACAATAGTAGTGGGGGAACTCAATACCCCACTGTCACAAATAGATAGATCAACTAGACAAAAAATAAGCAAGAATGTACTAGAACTCAAACAAACTCTTAAACAAATGAACTTAACAGATGTTTACAGAGTATTTCACCCCACAAAATCAGAATGCACATACTTTTCAGCTGCACATGGGTCATTCTCCAAAATAGACCACATACTCACTCATAGAACATGTTTAAGTAAGTGCAAAGGAATTGAAGTTATCCCCTGTATATTATCAGACCATAGTGCGATG